TTGAAAAAGGTAAATGTTTTGCAATGAGAAGAGGGATAGATGATCTATATAAAATCATTGTTTACAACAGATAAATATTGCTTATCCTCTTATCAGTTTACCACCACAGCACAAGAGATATAAACTCATATAGATCCTGCTTTACATATGGATTATACAATAGCTTTTTACTGTCTTTGGCTAGTAGAACTTATCTCAGTATAAAATAGTTTGCTAAGTGTTATTTTCATTATTAACAACTCAACTTTCTGTCTTTTTCCTTCTAAACCAATAGGTCTTAGCAGTTCAACTGTACTTTCTCCAGAAGGATCAGCACAATTTGCTGCTCATATATTTGGATTAAACAACCATTTGGTATGGGCCAAACTACGAGCAAATATATTGAACACATGGATTTCCTTGAAGCAGGCTGACAAGAAAATTAGGGAGGGCAGTATATAAGAAGAAACACCATTGCATTTTTTTAGGAGAAAAACTGAATTCCTAGTAAACTGCCGGAAAAAAACAAGATGAAAAGATAGTTTTAAAAAATCAGAAAAAATAAAATTTGTTGTGAATAAATATTTCTCTAGTTTCATGGATAAATAGAATATATTTACGTGCTTATTAATATTTCTTAAGTAGTAAAATTACTATGAGGACGCTTTAAAATTAATAGCCTGTATAGACTATGTCATCATTATTGGGTAGTGACATTATCATTTCTTAAATACTAATAATGTGCTATCATAGAACAATGCAGAAATTTCAGGTTCTGCATTGTTAACCTGATTTAAAAGATCTCATTCTCAACTCAAATATGTGAAGTTGATTGTCCAAGGACAGTCTTGTTTGCAGCATAAACTCCTTTGAAAATAATGCTATAGACCCTCTTCCTAGGAAATTGCACACACAAAATTTACCAACAGATTTCATTGGTTTTGGGTTTCCTTGAATCCTGTCCATGGTCTGTAGGTTAAACCTATCAAGGGAACTTGTGTCCTCATTTGCCATTATTGATATTCATTAGTTTACTAGGACTTCATCTTTACTCTCCATGAGCTCTTCTTAATCACCAGTGCAGTGACTGCAAGTAATTCTCTTTGTTGGATTGTAACCTCTGAGAGGAGAAAATAGAATTTTACACTTTATTTCACTCATGCTGCTGTATACCCTAATGTGCTATGCCTAGCAATCTGCTAGAGTTGGAAGAATTGTAAAAATCGTGTACTGCTTCTGTTTTATGCAAAATCACAGAAGCAAGGAAAGGGTGCGGCAGGCTGCACCTCCCATGCTGTCTCTTGACATGGTCCGGGCATTGGGGGAGACTCTCGAGAAGCTGGGAGTTCCTGTGCTCCCCCGAAGAGGGAAAGTTGTACTTCCCAGAAGAGGGGAGTTCTTGTACTTCCCAAAGAAGATCTAAACTAGGGAGTCTCCATGGCAATGCCTGCTAAAGCTCTCCTCTTTGTTCTTGGTTAATGCAGAAGTTAGTCATTAATTGGCATATGAAAACCCAGTTGGACCTAGATGTTAATTGATTTGTTATTCTCACACCTGAATCAGTGTCAAAGAAAGTAAATAATGCAAAATGTATAGCTAGGAAAGAAATGTTCCGGCCCTGAGAACTATGGAGAACAAGCTGCCCTGAACCAACTGTGCTTGGAAGCCATAGCCTGACATGGGGCGGGGGGGGGTGCATGTTTGCACCAGCAGTACATTTCCTGGTGTTTGCAAAAGGTCAATAGTTCGCAGGCCTTGTGGAGGTTAGGAGTTTCTAGTTAGGAGTTAGACTTCAGTAGAACTTACATAGATTTGATGAGTTGTTTTAGACCACTTTGATGAGTTGTTTTAACCAAGTTAATTGAGTGCTAGGAGATAGAATGATTTTAGTAATTGAATATAGAATAGGAATTTTATACCCACTTAGTAACTGGGAAAGTTTAATTGTTGCCAAATGTCGTGCTGTCTTATATGACTGATCATGTTAGCAAATGAGCTGTACCTAGGAAACTAATTGTTCTTAAGGTTACCAGAGAATTGCCCTTTAGGTGTGAGACATAGGGAGTCTTTGCATGTTCATGAGAAAATATGTATTGATTGTTTCTGTTCTGCCTCAATACTTACACTGATGTAATCCCACCACTCGCCTTAAGGTATAAGTAAAGACCCGCTGAGACCCTCAGCAGGAGATACTTGCACGAACTAAGGTGTCTGTGTCTACCTCACTCCTACCTCGCTCCACTTCCCCTTCTTTTAAACTTTGGCTTCATAGTTTCTGAATAGTTTTTATCTGCTACTTCATTTCTATCTCTACTTAGCAAGAACTCTGTTTCTGTACAATAGATGAAAAATTTCAAAAATTGATTTAGACTGGTGGATATGACTGGTCATTATCAATTTTACAATTGGCTTTTTAGCAGAGTACATATATTCTCAGTTAAACAGTATAGTTAATGCTAGAGTAAATATCTGTTTGAAATTTTCAGTTGTGTTGTAAAAAGTAACTTACACTGCTTACCTTCTTTGCCCCTTTGGGTTTTTATATATTTTATGGGCTTATAGCTAAATGTAGAGGGGAAAAATGTGTAAGTGATACAGTATTTAAACTTTGTATCATAAAGGTGTGCTTAGAATTGCTGTTACTTTAATATCTACTGAAGTTTAAGCAAGACCAGCCAAGTAAAAGACAAAGATAAGATTTGTAAAGCTTTATTCGTTCATCCATTGTTAGGTACATTTTGCCTGGTTTAATTCTAAACCATAAGAAGGCATTGAACAGACGAGATCCCTGTCCTCCAGCTTATATTTTATTGGGGATGACAAGCCATGAAAGATAGATTGGAAAAATTCGGGGAAGTTTTAAGTATACAAAGTATAATCAAAGTGAATTGACAGCGATGGGGATAAGAGGACGGTTTTGGAGGGGAGCAGAGCAATGATGTGAAAGAGAAAGCCATGCAAAGATACTGGGAAACAGCTTTCCAAAGTAGGGATAGGAAGTAAAACAGCTTTGTCTTTTTAAGAGCCTACAAACATGCCAGTATTGCTGGAGCTCAGTGAGCAAGGGTACAAGTGGAAGGAGATGATGTTGATGCAGACAGAGGCTAGATCACTTAAGGCCTATAGGCTACGCTGATGCGTGACAGGAAAAAGCATTAGAAAGTTTGGCAGGGCAGGAGGGCATGATATGTATTTAAGAGTTTACTGTTTTCCCTGGCTCTTCTGGATAAGAGAAGCAAGGATTGACTGAAAGTTTATTGTAATTCAATTGAGTGATGTGACCTTCAAGTTTTACTTTTGTGTTTCACTTTCCTTGTGTAATAGGACTAGGACTCTACACCTTGTAAGGTTGTTGAGAATTAGATTTCCATGGGTCTGTCACTCTTGGAGCTTCAATTTCCTTTTGTTAGGCCTGCCTCGGTGGATAAAATTACAAGATAATGTGTATGGAAGCTTCTTAGAAACCAGAAATGGCTAAATCCATTAGTAAAAAATAAGTTTGCTATTTGCAAAACCCTAGAGATGCAACAGTGAACAAAATTGAATTTCTGCCCTTAATGAATCTTGGGAGTCTTCCTGGAGCCAACAATTAAAGCACTATATTGTCTTACTATGGAATAAAGGATAGGGTATTTGAACAAGTATGCATTGTGAGGGAAAAGGAGGAACTCTTTAACTCTTCACTCTATATGAACCCCTCTTTCATGAAATACTCTTCATAGAACTTACTATCACTCAGTATATTTGTTGATTGCTTATTCCAACTAGAAAACAAATTTCATGAGTACACTGGGATGTCTTAATTATGTCCCTAGCAACTAGTATGCTTGACAGGCTCTAAATAAACATACTCTCATCAATGAACTCTGGTTAGGGAGAGAAATGAGCAAAAATTCAGTTAAAAAGTTGAGTAGCATGTACAGGAAAGTGTGCTTGCTTCCTAGCACACGCAGTAAACATGATAAATAATCCCTAGCCTCATGGAATGATCAATCTCTAGAGGGAAAGACCTTAAAAGTATGACCAGTGCTCGTAGCTCTGAGTGTTAACAGGGAATAGTGCCCAGACTGCAGTGTCCAAGAAGTGACTTAATCTGAAAACAGGTGTATGGAAATACTGAAGGATGAAAAGTAAACTAGGTTGCTGGGCTAGAACGGGAGGGAAGTGGCAAGAGTTGGTGGGATCCTGACACGAACGAGTCCCACGTAGCCTTTCAATAAGATGTCCAGTCGTTCTCATTGAGTATACTACTCAACAGGTATACTACTCAACAACTCGTCTGACATTTAAAGCCTTAATAAAAATATTAAACGCACACCCTTGTATGTGTCACTTGAGTATTTTCTAAGCCAAAATGCACGCGTTATCTTTAAAAACGACATACCTATATTTACAGTTAAGGAAAACTAGAACGTCAATAAATTAAGCTGTTGACAAGCAGACTTAGAGTGAATCGCAGTACTACGACCTGAATCCGGGCATTCTCTCCCCACACACAAAAAATTACCCTTCCAACCTAATTGACACTGCCTCTAAACTAGACTCCAAAGGACAACCGGGGGCTTTCTGCATGTTTTTGCTCTGCGACTGGAGATGTTCTCTGAGGGAACCAGCACCAAGCACATTATTCCTAATCTCCCTTTCGAGATCTCTTTCAAATGCCTAGTCTATGAATTTCTCTCTAGCATCAGGAAATCTTTCCTCCCTTGCGATATAAAATGACACCCTACGATTCTTTCGTGCCCCCCCCCATATTTTATTTATCTTTCGTAGACGGTCGCCGGGCTTCGCACTGGTGAACCCTTTCTCGACCTTTTGCGGGACTCCAACGCCTCCTTCCTCCAGACATACTTCGCGCAAGATGTAAAGAACGTCCACGCAAAGAGGGCGGGAGATTACGGTCTCTGACGCCGAGTCTGCAGCGGGGACGCTTCCGACTCCACAACGCTTAGCAACCAGCAGCCGGCTTCCTCCTCCGCCGGGCCGCCTCCGAGATCTTCTTCCGGGGCAGAGGTCGCGCCGCCCCGCCCCTTCTCTCCTCCAAGATGGCGAGCGGCGGCAGCGGGGGGGTTTCGGTGCCTGCGCTCTGGAGTGAAGTGAACCGTTATGGCCAGAATGGCGACTTCACGCGCGCTCTCAAGACCATCAACAAGAGTAAGTGTCAGGGGGAGCCCGGGCGAGCGGGAGGATGCGGCCTCCTTGTGCGCGCGCGAGCGCCGCGGAGTAGGCGCCGGGAGGGGAGACCCCGCCGTCCGCGCCTCGGGCTGGAACGCCGGGCGGCCGTGGGGAGCTGCCGGGCTGCTCCTCCCGGCGGGCCCGGGCTTCCGAGGTGCTTTGAGCCACGTGTACGTCCCCTCTGCGCCCCACTGGAAGCGAGGGGGGGGGATTTAAAGAGACCGCATCCCCCGACGCCTTTTCCAATCTGTTTTCTTGAGTCCTGCTTTTCTCCTTACCTTTAGTGGAGTGGTCGAGTTTATGTTGTCGAGGGAGCTGGTTCTCTTGGGCCGAAGTCGGGCTGGGGGTGGGGGTGGCGGGCGGAGGAGGGAACCTGTCTGGGACACGTAAGTAAGAAGCTGGTGCTGACGACGAGGTGCACGGTGTGCAGATTCAGGGGAGAGGGAAGGGCTGATGTGCTGTCAGGCCTGTCATTCCCACAGATAGAATCTGTCCGGTGTCTTTAGACCAGAAAATGTGTGTGCAGAGCACTGTGAAATAAAGTAGCAAGACATGTTAGCTCCTAATATTTGTGAGTAAATTGCCTTCAGTGTAAGGCTCACTCACTACTTTCTTTCATCCTGTTCTGTATAAATCTAACGTGGCCATGCTTTTTAATGCACTTTGTCGTGCTCACGTCTTCACTGAAGATGCAGCCTGCGTCTGTTAGACTTGGAAATGTAATTGCCAGGACAAGGTTTGGCTTTTTAAAAGCAGTAATGACATACAAGATATGTCAGTAACATGCACGGCTCTTTAGCGAATACTCAACAACCTATTGCTAGGTTAGTGTGGAAAACAGTGATTGTACACAGTGCATTCAAACATTGAAGAAAATGCCTAGAAATTAGAATTATTTGATTTTTAAATGTGCTTTGAATTAACTTATAGCCTTTGCCTAGACCTGGAACATTGCAGTACTTCTTTAAAAAAAGATTGATTTATTTATGCATACAAGAGCTGGGGTACGGATTCACCAGACACAGAGTGGGGAACAGAACAGGCAGATCGATGGAAGTACACCACTGAGGGGAGCAGCTGGTGAGTCAGGAGAAGTCTGCTGTGCCTTGTGGGTTGCTCCCTGGCGTCAGGGAATTGATCTCGTACTGCAGAGGCTGTAGACAGCTCCACAGGCTGCGTCTTCACCCCTTGCCCCACCAGGGAGGCCCCCGTTGCAGTACTTTTCAGTAGTAATGTAATAAGTATTTTTCAGGAATTACTTGATCATTAGGGGCTGTCAGTTTATTCTCCAGTATGTATTTTCTTAGTTGAAATTCTTGGATTCTTATACAAAAGCGGAATCCTGTAGTTGCCGAGGAGCAGAGCATGGGTAGGGATCCTGGTCATTTGGGCAGCATACAGCTGTTTAGCACTGGATTCTTCTTGTACTCTTTGGTAATCTTAAGGAAAAGGGAAATTTTTAATGGTTTTGGAAATAATTGCCATCAAGATAAATTGTGTTTATATGTTTTACAATATATGGGTTTTTTTCCCCAAAATATTCTCATTTAATCTTCATAATAAACTTGTAAAATAGGTAATGTTTTTATGCTCATTTTGCACATCAAAAAATTGAGATTTGGCAGTTAAAGGACTCAGCCAAGATCTCTCGGCATTTGGTGGCAAACTTGTACCCAAACCTAAGTCATTTGCTTTCCAGTTCCCCAAGACATAAACTTCTTACTTTTCCTTGAGTACTTAAAACATGTACAGTATAGTGTGTATCCCAATAGCAGGAGGAGGCAGCTTCTTTATTTCTCTTTGATACATGTATCTTGGGGGTATCTCATTAAAAATAACTCATAATTAGGGCCTCCCTGGTGGTGTAGTGGTTGAGTGCTGGGTTACGGAAGCTGCCCCCGCAGCCTCTGCAGCACCAGTTACATCCCTGGCCAAGGATCCCACATGACAGACCTCTCCTGCCGCCTGCTGCTCCCCTCAGCAGTGTACTTCATCAGTCTGCCTGCTCTGCTCTCTGCTCTGACTCTGGTGAATTCTCTCACCCTCCTGCGCTTCTGACTGTACCCAGTGCTTGTATAAATAAATAAATAAATCTTTTTAAAAAAAAAACCTCATAATTATAACGCTCCTTATTGTCACTTAAGTTAAAAATGAAAACCAGTCATTTAAAAAAAAAGTTTTGCTAATAATTGCTACTGCGATAAAATTGGAAAAATATGTAATTTCCTGAGGCAGGAGGTGAGAAATCTTACTAAAAATGTGAAAGGGGAATGAATTGAAGAATTGTTTCCTGTAATTGTTTTCCAGTACTGCAGATAAACAAGGATGATGTAACTGCTCTGCACTGTAAGGTGGTATGCCTTATCCAGAATGGAAGTTTTAAGGAAGCCCTAAATGTCATCAATACTCACACCAAAGTGTTAGCCAAGTGAGTGATCCAGTTTTTGTATATTTATTAGAAACATGTTTACCATAGCTATAACCATTTCCATGGTTACTTCCCACCCCCACCTCCAATATTTAGTGATTTTTTTACCATTTTCTTTCCACCTTTTATTGCTTTTATTGCTTGCTAGTAACGTTTCCGAAACTTAGGGTGCTTTTTCTTTCTTTACCCCTTTTTTCCCTTTGAACCACTAAGATAAAGATAAACTGTGGAGGAACATGGTACAGAAATGTTATAAGAATTTTTGGAGGACATAGGGAGAGCAACTTACCAGAAGTTTAATTAAAAAAAAAAAAAAGAGAGAAGGCAGAACTTGTAGATTAGCAATGAATACGTATATACTTTTGAAGTCTTTAAGTTGATAGAGGGCTCTAGGATGGTATGGTGGTCTGAATCTGACCTCTGCGTTTATACCTCCTTTGAGAATCTTTTAGGTGAGTGTGACGTTAGGTCAAGCTCTTTCAGTGTCAGAATTCTTTAGCATTTTTGCAGAATAGCAATTTTTTTGTTATTCTTTTTCATTTACTATCTTTAGCACTTTGTGAATGTGAATTTACTACTGTAATTTGATTTTTTTATAGTTATGCCTAAACCTTAAAAGAAATATGTATTGAAATGAAGTTTGTAGCATATTGATTCTTTAATGAGATGCTGATTTGTAGATGCAGAGCAGTATATAGTGTACTTCCTCTTATATAAGAAAAGGAAGATACAAAAACGTGTGTGTATTTACCTGTGTTTGAAAAACACTAGAGAAACTATTAATAAAAATAGTCACTTGCTGGAGTGAGGGTGGGAGGCACATAGGTTTGAATAGCACAATAAAACCTCTTAGTGTGTACCTTTGTGTTTTTTTCATTTGAGCCATATACATGTACTACAGATTGAAAACTAATTTTAAAATTTCATTTAAAATAAAAGAAACAAAGGGACTCTGTACTAGTAGACATGTTCATGCTAAAATTCAGTATTTTGAATTTTAGATATTTTGTGAGGTAGGAATATTTTCAAATAATTTTTGTAAAGGCAAGTAAATAAGGGATATTGCCATTTCCTTTAATAAATATTTTTCCTTGTGGCTTATGTTTAAAACTTCAAATTTAAATTTCAGGTATCACAATTAGGTGAATGTTTAAGTCTGAATGTAAATTGTATTTGTGTATTCTTGTGTCTACTAGTTGCTTGGTTACAAGTACTATATTCTTTTATGATTTTTGGTCAACTTTTTTTGGTTAACCTTCAACAAGTTAAAAACGGCATTGTATGACTTGTTATTTGATTAGTAGATTTAAGAAATTTCTATGATAATTCGTTTAAAATCATGTTCAAGTATTCTTTGCATATAAGACATTCAGCTGATTCATGATTTCAGCCTACATGTTTTTGACAAAAGGCCAATAATTCTAGTAAGACTATCCATGAAAGCATTTCATGCTATAGAGATTTTTTTTGTGAAGGAGTCAATTGATGTGGCAAACTTCATTGTCTTATTTTAAGAAATTGCCACAGCCACCTCACCCTTCAGCACCTGATACCCTGACCAGTCAGTAACTGTCAATGTGGAGGCAAGATCCTCCACCAGTGAAAAGGTCATAATTTCCTAAAGGCTCTAATGATGGTTAGCTTTTTTTTTTAGCAATAAAATATTTTTTAATTAAGAAATGTTTATTGCTTTTTAAGACAATGCTATTGCACACTTAATGAATTACAGTATACTATAAATATAACTTTTATTTGCACAGGGAAACCAACAGATTTGTGTGACTTGCTGTATTATTGCACTAAACCCACAATATCTCCAAGGTGTGCCAGTATAGCAAGTGCTTAGAGCAGTATCTGTCATATAGTGGGTGTTCTGCAGTGTTAGATAATCAAATTTGTTTTTCCTTTTTCAGTAATTCTCTTTCTTTTGAGAAGGCTTATTGTGAATACAGGCTGAACAGAATTGAAAATGCCTTGAAGACAATAGAAAGTGCCAACCAGCAGACAGGCAAACTAAAGGAACTTTATGGACAAGTGGTAATTATTGCTTTAAAATACCTGTTTACTTTGAAAATATGTAGCCCTATACATCTAAATCATAAACAATATTATAAACCAATGAAACGTAATAAAAATATTATAATTTTCAAAAGAAAGAAAAGGAGGGGGAATTATCTGCCCACCCTCCCTAAAAGGGGAGATTTTCCTGTTTGATAGAATAGGAAGAGGTCACATAATCAGGGGACTTCCCTAGGGTCACAGTGCAGATCAATCCCAGCACACTCAAAGCACAGCAATTCAAGCCAGGTTTAATGAAGAGAAGACGTAAAAAAGTTTGGACATGGTATAGGGAGAAATCATAAGAGGCAGTGCAGAATCCTGTATCTGTGAAGGTGGAACTGTTAATATTTTAGAGCTGAAGCATAGCGAGAACCCGGAGATAGGACAAGATGTGTGCAAGGGGCTGTCTGAAAGGAGCTGAGAATTTTATGGAAAGACACAACCACCCCTTTGTGGTACCACAAGAGCAAAGTCAGGGAAACAGATAAGATGCCTCTGCTTCTTTTTTCTCCATCCATCTGATTTGTTGCCAGGACACTCTATCCTGCAAATTCAGCTGGAAACCAGACGTGAGAAAGTCCATATAGATCAGCCTCCTAGCACTGAGTAGGTTGGGTAAGGGTGAAAGGTGATTTGGGGCAGATGACTTCCTTCTTCATCAGTCTAAGAGGGGGTTGGGACTAGAGTTCCCTTTTCTTGAGTTTCCCTTTCAGTGTCCACATGCTTTTCCTCCACTACAGAAGGTCTCAGTTCACACCACAAAGTTTCAGCAAATTCTTTGCTATTTGATCTCATCAGAAAGCAAGAATTGGGTGGTTATGTCATTTATCAGTGGAGAATGATTATACCTATACAGATTTAACATGAACTTTGAAAAGTTGGATGTATATGTAACAATTGAGTTCTCTGACTATTAAATATGAGAATTTTAAGGGGAAAAGAAAAACCTATTCACTATCATCCTGAGTGAGCATAACTGTGCCTTTAGCAGGAAGCAGGACTGAGGAAGCCCAGCCTATTTTGATATTCCACAAAATTTACCACCTACCCAGTTCTTGACTTTTAACATACTCCCTGTCTTTTGTTCATCATACAGTTGCATATGAAACATTCTATGAACACATTATTTCCTCAGAGTAATTAGAAAATGAAAATGAAGAACAATCCTATTTAATTTATACTTTTTCAGTTTGACATGTGAAGGCTAGTGAACTGATATGCTTATTTAAAAAGTGTTGAACTTTATTTTTCTTAAGTTTTTAACGAGTATTTTATTTCAGATTTAAAATGAAGAAAGTCATGTTGGATAAGAAATTGGATTTCATTAAATCCCTGAAAATGCTTTTTCAAAAGGATTTGAGATATAACATTAAGACTAATATAAAGCAGGGCTATTAGTGATGAAAGGATAGAAATGTTACATCAGAACTAGCAAAAACCCTCTTCAGGATTTTTTGAATGTTGGTTTAGGACGAATAATGTATACATTGTCCCCAAGAGATAGTATTAGTTTAACAATATAAATGGATTGTAGGTCTGTAAAGAATTTTTCAGGTAAGATGGGTGAGTTAAGGGTAAATTCCAGAACTTAGAGACTGATGAAGGGCATCAGTCTTTGAGAACAACTTAAATGAAGTAAGCAGGTACTATGTTATGTATACTTGATATTGCTCTGTATGATAGTTGATTTCTAGAAAGATTACACTCTTTGAATAATTTGAAAATATTAAGTCCTTTTATTATCCTCTGACTTTGTTTCTGTACCTATTTACTGGGGCTTAGTAATCATTTTGTACTGTAGGAAAATATTTTCATTGTAATATGAAATATTTCGTAATATTTTCTTTGTAATAAGAAATATTTTCATATTTAGGTAACTTCTATTTCTGTAAAAAGGTTTTCTTTCACAACCCACTTAGCATCTAACCTCAAGAAGGATGTAAATAACAATGACTTTTCTAATTGAACCATGCCTGTAGATCTGCAGTATAGTAGAGATTCATTGGAAGTAAGTTTTTGAAAGTATTAGTGACTTAAGAACTAAGTGAAAAACTATAAGGGAAGATAATTATCCATGTTGTGCTGACTTTGATTTCCTTAGTGGTTCCAAGAAAGTTTATATGGCGTTAGAGATCTAACACACTGTATTTGTCTCCTCTGATTTCTTTTTTTAATATTTCTCTTCAGTTATACCGATTAGAACGCTATGATGAATGCTTAGCTGTGTATAGAGATCTTGTCCGAAACTCCCAAGATGATTATGATGAGGAGAGAAAAACAAATCTTTCAGCAGTTGTTGCAGCTCAAAGCAATTGGGAAAAAGTGGTTCCAGTGAGTATCCCTGTGTATGCACACAGCCATGAAATAATATTCCTGCTGAGTGTTTGACTGATACTTTGCTCTGTGACAGGAGAACTTGGGCCTTCAAGAAGGCACACATGAACTGTGTTACAATGCTGCGTGTGCACTGATAGGACAGGGCCAGCTGAACCAGGCAATGAAAATCCTACAAAAAGCTGAAGGTTGGAAGTTTGTTAAAATTATATGTAAATGTAATGTGCATGTAATTTTGCAAAGTATTCCCAAAATTGCATATCACTTTGATGTTTTTGAATGGAAATTATTGATGCATTGAGAATTTCTCAAGTTTCATTAGCTTTTCACATGTGTTTTTGAGCATATCTTTCATTTATTTCTAAGTGAGACTTCTTGTCCGTTTTCAACCAGACCTTAAAGTTTGGATTTTGTAGAGTAGGTTTTTGAACAAATTACTGAGTATGAAATGTACATTAAGTTAATTAATGTCAAATACTTATGGTAGTTCATGGCATGTAAGCGTTCAGTAAATATTAGCATTATTCTTACTAAAATGTGCTCAACTACAATAATAATGTGGTGTATCTGTGTGTGTGCATACATGCATGTACTACATTTATACACTGGTAGCACTATTCAGGCACATTTTAACTGCATTATGTTTGTTTCGATATGGAGAAATATTTACATGCTTTGAAGTTTTTAATTAAGGAAAAAAATTATTAGAGAACTTATGTATGGTCTCAGCTTCTGAAATACTTAAGACTTTTCCTCTGTACATTTTCCCTGAAAGCTACAAAAATGATGTCATAGGGACTTCAATGAACAGATGGGTAGGGGCAGAAGATGAAACCATCTGCTTTGCTCTTAAATGTTGAAAGTAAAAATAAGAGCAGAAGTTAAAACACCATGAAAAGAAAAATGTGTTTTAAATATTATAATTTCTTGATCATAGTATTAATATACATTGCAAATTTGAGTGCAAAAGTAGTATAGACTTTGCATATTAAAGACATTTGTAAAGCAGTGTAATAGGTTTTAAAATGTGCATACTCTTTGATCCAAGGATTTCCATTTTAGAAATTTTAAGCAAATAATTAGATAAATAAATACATTTATAAGAATAAAAATTGAGCATCATGAGTTTCTGTTCTTTGACTCAAAGAATAAAACTCACTTTATTCTTTACTCAATTTTTTCATAACCACAAGAGAGATTACCATTTGGTCATTAAAATAATATTTAAAGAATAATGTAGATCATTATTTAGTATAACATAAAGATACAGTTATTAAATGGGGAAAAGGAGGTTTCAAGATGCTGTATAGAATACCTCACTTTCACTTTAAATGCAACTGTGCATTTACATTGAAGGATAATAACTGAGATGATAATTGAGATTATTTCTGGGTGATTGTCTTTATTTTTATACTCCTATGATTAACATTTTGGAACCTGTAATCATTGTTTATATTTTTCAAATGTACCTTTAATTTTGTTTTAACAGAGATTACAAATGAAATAAAAATGCCAAAAAAGCTAGATTAATCAGAGATTAGTAATATTTATGTAACATATTTGATGTGAAATACATTTGCTTATTTTTAAAATTATCTTTCAAATCTTCTGTCCAAGAATTTAGTTCTTATTTTTTGGAATGATAAAAGCAATAAGCTACCCAGCAATGTTAATTTCAAAACATTTTCTCCTATAGATCTCTGTCGCCGTTCATTATCAGAAGATGCTGTAAGTATTCCAGTGTTACTAAACCTAAATGTTGTACCAATATAAATTTATAGGAGTTTTCAGTATAGTATTTCTTGGTTTTTTGGAGTAAATGAAGAATCATTAAATAGTAATCTCAGTGAAAACCCTCTTCAGTTATTTGAGGAAATATTGTAGTTTGAGAAATTAAAATATAAAAGTTTTTATATACCTTAACCATTATATTTTAAATTCATATAAATATAAATTTATTCTATTTTAGATGCAGGACTCATGTCCTTTGAGTTCGGATCTATTCATAAAAATTCCATGCATAGTTCTTATATAATCCACACATAATCCAACATTCGTGATTACTAGTTTTGAGGTTTTTTTTAAATGCAAAATATCTTAAAGACAATTGTAAATCAGTTTCATTATAAGAATTTATAGATGTTAACTTTTTCACCAGTCTCTTACCATTTTCTGCCTCACAAGTAATTAGACAGTTTCTTTAGGAACTCACCATTATCAAATATTTTTGAGCATTCAACATAGCTTTCATTGAAACAAGTCTCTTTTCACACTCATAGTTCTTACTATAATATGTAATTAAGTTTTATTGTTTCCTTATCAAACACAACTGACATGATGGGATTGGAAACAAACACATCAGCATATGCTCACCAGGTGAGTGCAGGAGTTCAGGTTGTGGTAAAAGAGGCTGCTCTTCCTAGCCTTGAGCTTTGGTGCTTTGTGGGCATCAGTCAATCCTTCCAGAATAAATAGAGAAAAGGGATTAATCTGGAGTGTCAGTTAAGAGAGCTGCTACTTTAATGATGCAGTTAGTTCAGTGACAGACTTTAGTTACAGGATCAACTCCAATTTTTGAAGTTCTTTGTGGAGTATTAGTTTGAACTGTAATCTTTGGATTAGAGTTCTGTTGCAATTAAGGAATGAAGCATTTTTAAAATGTGTTCTTTTGAGGTAATTATCCAGAATTAAAGTTAAACCTACATGTTAGATTAACTTTTTTCCTTTGCTTTCGGGGTTTAAAGAATATTAATGATCAATCAATGGCATTCCTGAACTTGTTGCCATGTTTTTACGGGATCCATCTTTGCCATTCTTATTTAAACTCTCTTATGGAGGCAATTGCTACATTTTAACTAATTGACTTTAAGGGAAAATTCCTGAAAATCATATTTCTTCTTTGGGATTGTGTTATTTTTTGAACATTTGGGTCACTTGGTAAATCTGGATCAATTTGGAGAATTCACAGAAAAATAAAAGTTTCTTTTGTTTAGGATGGGACTGAGGAAGATCCACAGGCAGAACTTGCCATCATTCATGGGCAGATGGCTTATATTCTTCAGCTTCAGGGTTGTACTGAGGAGGCTTTGCAACTTTACAATCAGATAATAAAACTAAAGTAAGTGATTTATTAAATTGAAGTATCATTTAAATGGACTGAGGGTTTTTTTTTTTTTAAAAAAATCTTGTTCTATTTTAACTATTGTTTATTGTCCTCAGGCCAACAGATGTGGGATTGCTAGCTGTAATTGCAAATAACATCATTACCATTAACAAGGTATGGAATATCCAAGACTTCCCTACACTTATATTTTACAGTGAAAGCAGGTTACTCCATTTTTTTTGCCCTAGGATAAGTATTTCTTTCTATGCCAGAGTTCAGTTATTGTTTAACTATTTAAGAGTATTGTTTAACTGTTTAAGAGTATTGTTTAACAGGGCCTCCCCGGTGGCGCAGCGGTTGCTAGAGTTCACCCTCCCTGCTGTATTGTTTAACATATTGAAGAGTATTGTTTAACTCCCAGTAGTGATGAGTGCAGGCTCTGGACTTTAAAATATTTCCCTTCTCCCAGTTTATAATAATGAGGACAGTCTCTATTTGTTATAAAAACAGTGTGAACCTTTAAACTTTAAATGTGTGCATGTTTTACAGGATTTTTTCATCTCTTGAATGTGAATTCAAGTTTTCCTTATGTGATATTCTTACCAGTGCTTTTTGTTTTGACTTTTATATGTTTTTTGTAAGGGGAAAAGGAATGTGAGTAAGGTTCTCTCTATTTCCTGTATCCCTTCCCCAAGCACCATATAAAATATTGCGAGCATGTGTATAGGCAGTCCTAACTTAAAGTGCTGTATTAATAAACCACCATTTGGAATGTTGTTTTAATGAAAAAACATTTCAAGTGTAAATTTTGAAATCCAGTGAGGTAGAAAACAAGAAAAATCTAGCATTTGAGTTCTTATGATATTCGATGTTATTTTTCAAGGGGCATTTTATTTCATCCTCAGTAATCTTTTTACATTTTAAGTACTACTTTTTAGGTAATACTTGTCTCCAATATATAGGAATTTAATCTGAGGCTAAAAGGTTAGAAGATTCACCAGAGGCAGAGTGGAGAACAAACAGGCAGATCTACTGAAATATACTGCTAAGAGGAGGATTGGGTGAGAGAGGAGAGGTCTTGTACCTTGTGGATTAGCTCCCTGACTGGAACTAGAACTCGTGCCCCAGTGGCTGGCAATAGCTTGATAGTGCTGAGACTTTAACCCTTTTGCCACCAGGGAGGACCCTACTTTAACATTTTTGATATCCCTTGTGCTTTTCTTCAAAAAGATCAAAACAAGTAGTTGATAATGGGAAGATATCTTGTTTTCCTTTCCTTTAAAGTTCCTCATTTATTAAGCTTTTTCATACTTAAGGTAGGAAGCAAAATATACAGATGATCTAAAAGAAGAAAAATACAGACACTGTAGATTTAAATTGTAAAGGCTTTCTTTCCTTCTGTGAACCAGGAATCCAAGACAGTTTTGTAAGCATCGTAGGCGTCCAAATCAGCATTAAAGAATTAAAGTCTGAGGTCACTTTTTTTTGTTTGTTTGTTTGTTTTTTTTTACATTTCTCAAAGGGAGGGAAAGTTTATTGCGCCCGGGCGGACCTCACAGACCCAAGGTGGGGGTCAGTGAAGCCGCGCCTGAGGTCACTGTTAATGGTTGGTGAACTTCCCTTTTTCAGGACCAAAATGTCTTTGACTCCAAAAAGAAGGTGAAATTAACCAATGCAGAAGGAGTAGAGTTTAAACTTTCCAAGAAACAATTGCAAGCTATAGAATTTAACAAAGCTTTACTTGCTATGTACACAAACCAGGTAGGTTACAGACGTTTGATTCCCTGGCTAACCCTTTTGAAGTCTGCCATGGATAGATGTATCAGTCCAGCTTTTTATTTATTTATTTATTTATTTTTTAGTTTATATTTTGTATTAAACCCATGTATTCTTCAAAATGTCATAGATTTTACTTATTAAGTAAGTAGTTTACCCAGTTCTTTGCAGTTGGCTTTTAAGAGGGAGAAAACAGTGTTCACATGTTTAAATGAGATCTTTTTCTCATCTTATTTCTAATCTTACACTAAACAAATTAAGAATCATAAAGATGCCAGACATTTGATAGATAAAACATCCTTTTTGTTTTTGCATTTTAATTTGTATATACTGATACCACGCTATGAATGTTGAAGTCATTTTTCTTAATTCATTCTAATAAAATTATAATTTCATAACTTGGAGAGAGGAGAGAGGAGAGGTGTTCGGGTTTCAGTGGGAGAGTGAAAGTCAGTTACATTTTCATTATTTAGAACTGAGGCAAGGTATTCTCAGATACTTTACATGAAATGACTATATGTTTTGTTGTTTTAAATTAAACACTGATGTTTGATGTATCTTTTTAACAAAATTCTGGAATTTAAACATCCAAATAAATGTTTGTAACTTGTCCTTTCTTAAATGTTTTTAGAATTTCTAGTTTAAATTCAGTACTTACAGGGAAAAGCAGTTTTTCATTTGCTGTTTTGTTTCAATTGATTTCCTTCTTCCTCTACTCATCTTTTTCTGTTTGGTCGTTTCATGTTTAACTTTATTAACCAGCTATTTTTTCGGGGTGGGGGGTGCATGGGAAATGCTTTCTTTTAGGCAGAACAGTGCCGCAAAATATCTGCCAGTTTACAGTCCCAAAGTCCTGAACATCTCCTGCCAGTGTTAATCCAGGCTGCCCAGCTCTGCCGTGAAAAGCAGCACACCAAAGCAATAGAGTTGCTTCAGGTAAGGGAATTACTTGGATTTTTAATGAGGAGAATCAGGTGGTTACAGCCTGTTGCATTGTTATAATAACATACATATTTGTAAATTTCATTGGAAAAATAATAGGTAATTACCAAATGTAGATAAATTCCAAAGGGTCATTTATTTAATTCTTGGGCTATAGTTTTGTTTTATATAAATTTGCATCAGTAAATATTGCTACAAATTATAAGGAAAGCATGATGTTAGATTTAAATAAAGTGAGTCCTAATCAAAATCCCAAACAATTACAGAGATACTAACTTGGTTTTATTAACCTATACCATCTCTCAAATTATATGTGAGTTACCTGAGGGTAGACTCATTGAAAAGGTGGATTAAATTAGGACCATGCTGAGGGGATGGTTGCCTAGTAGAGACTCTAAGTAAGGAAGCATTATTTATTTGAGTACCTTTCTTTAAAAAAAAATTTTTTTTACATAGTACTTTTAATATTTCTGTTAATGACTTCCTGGGAAATTGGCATTATTGTACTTAATTTCAGAATAATTTTAAAGCAAAATCAGTGTTAAGTAAGATTTTTCTTAAGTAAAATTTTGCTCTGAAACCAGAAGTTTAATATTTTAAAACAAGCTTTAAAATGTTATATAGCTGAGAAAAGTAATTGGGAAGTGTACAGCTAGTTGTGTAAATTAATTTGATCTTTCCCCCCATTAAAAAAATTTTAGGAATTTTCAGATCAGCATCCAGAAAAAGCAGCTGAAATTAAACTGACCATGGCACAGCTGAAAATTTCCCAAGGTACTAATGATAATTCCATTATGATTAAAATGCCATTTTCATAAAAACATGTTTGGAATGATTCTGAAGTAACTGTGGACTTTGCGATTATAAACTTTTTTTGTATAGTGGTGAAGTATATTTATTACTGTTTCAAACATGTAGCTAGATTTTGTGGGTTTCAACAGATTTAGTAGGGAGTTAGCCTTTAGTTATTCCTAAGTTACTAGAATGATTATCAATTTATACATTGAAAATCAATAGAAGCAAAGGCTTCCTCTGTTCCAAAAGACAAATTAAATTTCCTGGCTATGTCATGCATTGAAATGCTTTTATTTGTCACTTAGTAGCATTTGCATGAAATAAGGGTAATTTTTTATTACCCACATCTTTTGGGAAGAAGAGACAAGGGAATTTAATGAGAATTGATATTTTTGAATCTTATAGAAAATGCCATTGTTTTCATCTATGATTTTGAACTAATCTTGAGTGACTTGCAAGAACTGTGTTGCCCATATTTGGTAGCTGCTATCTAATGTAACTACTTGAAGTTTAAATTAGATGAAATTTAAAGTTGTGTTAGATAGTTCTGGTATAGACTCTGCATTCTCATTGAGAGTGATAATTGGTTTGGGAGGGGTTGAAAAAAGTCTTAGACATTATTATAGTTAAAATGTCATGAATAGAGGGTAGGAGAGTTGGGAAATAGTGAAAGAAAATGTCTAAAAAGCATCTGATTGGGGTAATGAGAAACCCAGTGGTTTTCTTGTTACCACATTTTCACTTTTGCTTACCTTCCTCCTTTGTTTCTTTTTTCCTTTTTCTATCTCCTTTTTCTTGTTCTTCTCTTTATTTTTATACTTTCTTTATCTGGTTTTATTTGTTTTTGCAAGAAGTATTTATTGTGCTAAAATTACTCAGAAAGAACTGCTCATGGGTTTGTCTTGTTTTTAAAGCCTTTGGAAGATTTTAGTTATTTAAATTTGTAATCAGTGGGAAATCAGAATTTTAACACCATAGTGTAATTTTTCATTGCACATATATCTATAGTAACATGTTTCAAGGACCTTAGGTAAATAGTCTCACCACAAAGATACAGTCTGAAAAAAGGGGGAGTTAAACTCAGTAGATTGAAAGATGGGAGACTGCTTTTCTGGTAGCAGCTCTGCCATTAACATTCTATGTGAGGTTAATGTTTCTTTGGCACTCGTTTTCCTTTCTGTCAAATGAATAAATAGAGTACATTACTCTCAACATTCTAAAGTTTAAGTATTCAGAGATCTAAAATATTTCTCTTAAACTTCTTATATTTGTTTTTTCATAATATACTTTCTTCAATGTGTTGCTAATTTCACTTTTAATCTCTTAAGGTAATATTTCCAAAGCATGTCTAATATTGAGAAGCATAGAGGAGTTAAAGCATAAACCAGGCATGGTGAGTTTATAACTAAAATATTATAAGACTAAAAAAAGTAAGGAACCTACTAATCCATTGTTATGTTTGATGTTTCTTTGTGTCATTTTAATTTCTGCTTATTTCTTTATATATTCATAATGTAGGACTAGTAGTTAAAATAGTAACCATACTTTCTGGTATAACTTTAATTTCATTCTGTACTCTACTTTGCATTGGTTCCTTATTTAGTCAAATATGCTAGACATTATTTCCACCATACCACTGAGAGTCAACCTCACATAACCTAAGAATGGTACTAAATTATTTATAATGTCTTCGGTGTGATTTCTTTGAGTTAAAAACAATTTAATGGTGGCCAACACATTTAGCTTGTAGTTCTCTGATTATTCAAGCATCACAAATGTAAATCACTAACATAGCTGTGAAAGCATCTGTTTCAAAACAGAGACTAATTTTACAGTGGTGCTATGTGCACTTGTTGAATGAGGGCTGTTTGATTCACGTTTGTTTCTCTAACAACTTATTCACAGTTGCACTCAATAAACATAGTGTTATGTTAGTACTTTCCCTTTTGAAGATTCATATTTTGAAAACTGGAATATGATTATATTAGAATCAGATATAGAGCTAAAAATAAAATGTTTCTAATATTTGTTGTTTGACCTTCTGTTACCTTTCATGTAGGTATTTGGATTAATTGGCATGAAAATGTTCAGATAGTCCCAGTTTACCCTATAAATATGAGTAGAACCTTTTCCTGATACTGGCTGTTTGTGGTTTCTCTCTCTTTTTTTTTTTTTTTTTTTTTTTCTGACTAGTCTAGCTGTAGGTTTATTAGTTTTATTGATTTTTCTCAAAGATGCAGGTTTTTCCTTCTATTTCCTTTCTGTCCTAATCTCCTATTGCTCTTCCCCCTCACTCCATTCCAGCCACCTGGGCCTCCTTACTGTCCCTCCCACACACCAGGCTCAGACTCCATGTGACTCGTTGTGGGGCTTTAATCACAGTTCTGTATACCTCACTGAACATGCAGTTGAATATCCTGGCGATGTCTCATACATAAACTGGTTTTGTCAGTGCTTAGTCTCAAATTTTATGCTTGCTTTCTTGTGAACTAGTTGTGAACTGGCACAGCATTTGAGGGAAAGTGTATTTTATACTTTTCTATTTGGAATACACTATTGTTCATGGTATTTCTAGTTTTTATGCTATAGAAACATACCAATGTTTAAGACTAATTAGGTACTGGCAAAGAGCCTAGCAACCTTTATTTGCTATTTTTTCAGTGTTTTTCATTTTCAAAAAATTTATTTGGGAGAGAAAGTGGGGTTTTATTCATTAATATATACCTTTGACTCGTTAGGTATCTGCATTAGTGACCATGTACAGCCACGAGGAAGATATTGATAGTGCCATTGAGGTCTTCACACAAGCTATCCAGTGGTATCAAAGCCATCAGGTAAATAAATAAACTGTTAGTGGGGTCATGTTTTTACATAAAAATAGACTGCAGTAGCTAACTAAAAACTTAAGAGCATTGAAACATTTCAATTCACTATTGAAAAGATGGAATGCTATTAGACTGCTACTCATTTTTTTAGTATGCCAGATCTAAAGTTGTCAGAAGTAAGAAATGGCTACAAATGAGAAAAAATAGCTCACTCATGTTTTTTAAAGCGTTCCTTTGTGTGTTTGTGGGTATAGTCTCAAGAAATACCAATATAATAATTCACAGTTGCATATAAGAGAACTCATCTTTAGTGGCTAAAGGTGGGTGTAGTAATTGGTAAAACAGTAGTATTTGACATAATTATATATCTCCAGCTAATAAGAACATCTTCATGTTTTCCCAGTATGGGTCTTTGTATAGGCCATATCTAGCTTGTAAACATCTGTACTGTTAGTGTTATTTGTACAGGCAGGATACCAGTGTTCTGGGAAATATTGTGTTGAATTAATATTTGAGAACTGTGGTGAAATCTAAGATTTGATTATGGAGAATATTTCTAATTATAAGCAATCTAGAGATGGGTTGTGTTCCAAATTCATGAATTGGTAGTTACTTGTATTAGTTTGTCCACCCCGCCACCTGGTATATATGTGCATTTATTTGTTTTTGTTGTTTAACGCGTATAGTAAAACTTAAGATGAAGAATCTAATGAATAGGTCTGTTTTAAAGGACTAGTGAATGTAACTTCAATGTCTTGCTAGATATTTAGCTTAAAACTTCTTTTGCTCTTTTTATTGAACCTGTAGCCCAAATCTCCTGCTCATTTGTCCTTGATAAGAGAAGCTGCAAACTTCAAACTCAAATATGGACGGAAGAAGGAGGCAATTAGTGACCTAGAACAGCTATGGAAGTAAGCTCTGAAAGGGGGGGGGGGTGTAGAAATCCAAACTTTATAGCTGTTATTTGATATGAAGGCGTTCTTTTGCCTATTATGTTACTTTCCCCAGTTTCGTAAACTGTTTAGTAACTTTCTTGTTTCTTCTTTTAGGCAAAATCCAAAAGATATTCATACCCTGGCTCAGCTTATTTCTGCTTATTCACTTGTAGATCCTGAGAAAGCAAAAGCGTATCCTTTTGATTGTTCCAGACTGCTATCATGTCATACACTAGATGTCTTCCAGTACTTGTTTTGACCAGGGACTTTCTGTTGTAAATTTTGACAAACAAAACCCTTATTAAGTAGTCAAAGCAAAAAATGAGTATTTATTAATTAATGTGACTGAAAAATACAGTGGTAGGCTCAAGAAAAAGCATATTTTATTTGGGTAGTAGAACATGACTCTGAATGTCATTTTGGTTGAACTGTCTTAGGTCACATGCCCATCTCAAGTAAATACTGACTATACCAAAATTCACTGCCCTGATCGACTGAGTTTGGATCATGTGATACTCCAATATGGGTGTGTTCCCAAACTGAGGTGGGGTGGTAGGAAAAGCAGTACGTCAAAATCTTTGTAATAAGCAAGACTGTTTTATAAACTGCTAGTAGTTTTATTTTTTTTTTTAAGATTATTTCTTTATTTATACAAGCACTGGGTACAGTCAGAAGCATGGGAGGGTGAGAGAATTCCCCAAAGCCAGAGCGGAGAATAGAACAGGCAGACTGACGAAATACACTGCTGAGGGGAGCTGCGGGCGGCAGGAGAGGTCTGCGCGCCATATTGTACCCTCGCCTGACGGCCGGGGATTGAACCTGCGCTGCAGAGGCTGCAGGCAGCTTTGCAACCCAGCGCTCAACCGCTGCGCCACCAGGGAGGCCCTTAGTAGTTTTATAAACTGCTACCACATTAAAGTACATTAAGTTAGGAATTAGTTGATTAGATTCGTCCCTTCTCAAGTTCTTTCAGAATATAGAATTAAAATTTGACTTTTTGACCTGCCTTGTTATTTTATGTGATGAACATTTTTTTGTTTTTGCAAAGGGCGTTAAAAATGTGTTTTTCTATTGGTATAGTTCTTTGGCAGACATATGTATATGTATGTTTATTGTGTTCCTGAACTCTCGTTCAATCCCAGTCTTAGTAAACACTTGCCCTCGTCAGATAGTATGTCTCTAAAAGTAGATGTGGACGCTCTTGAAAATTCTCCTGGTGCTACATACATTCGGAAGAAGGGTGGAAAAGTTACTGGAGATAGTCAACCAAAGGAACAAGGGTAATGTTTTTCATTGCAACATTCACTAATACTCATTTTAAATTATATAGAGAAGAAGAAGCACATTCTCATAAAAATTTTGTGAATAAAATTTAAGCCCTCTTTTATTCTTTTCCCTTCTCTTTCTGTGCTCAGCTAGCTCTTACTTAGTCCTCATTTCCCTCTTCCTCCCCAGCCCAGAATTAGTTGTGTATTAATTGTGTATCCTTCCAGATCTCTTTTTCTATTTATTCACAGTAGAGTTACAAATATTTCCCTTAGATGGTTTGTTTAGTTTTTACAGAAATGGTATTATATTGTACTTAATGTTTCTGACTTGCTTTCTTTCATTTAATAATTCTTGGAGATGTTTCCATATTCTTTTTTCTTTTTTTTTTTTTTTTTTAATTTATTCAAGCACTGGGTACAGTCAGAAGCATGGGAGGGTGAGAGAATTCACCAGAGCCAGAGCAGGGAACAGAACAGGCAGACGGACGAAATACACTGCTGAGGGGAGCAGCAGGCGCGGCAGGAGAGGTCTGCGCGCCATGTGGGACCCTTGCGTGGCAGCTGGGGATCGAACTGGCGCTGCAGAGGCTGAGGGCAGCTTCGCAGCCCAGCGCTCAACTACTGTGCCACCAGGGGAGGCCCTCCATATTCTTAATATGAATATATTTCGTTCTTTTTATGCATAGTATTCCATAGGCTGGATGTGCCTTACCTTATTTACCTGTAATTTATTGATATACTTTTAGTAATTTTAACCTGAAGTTCACCTGAGGTTAATTTTGCTGACTTGGAGGAAAGGTTAGCCAGGTTCATTAACTTACAAGGAGTCTAATTAGACTCTTTCCTTGTTTTCCTGTATTGCCAACTCAAATGCACAGTTAGCAGAGGCCTACTAATTAAGATTCTGTTTTTTATTCCAGATGAACAGAGTAACACCCAGTTTAGTAATTTTCATAATTTTACTGTTTTGTCCCTTTTATTTAATGCCTTTTGAAGTTGTTTTTTTTCCCCAACTTAAAAAAATCAGCAACAGTATATGATTGACTTCATTATAAATTCTTCGTTGTGCTTTTATTATTATGAACTCTGATTTTTTAAAAAAGGCATTATCCACAATACAGGATTTTTAAACTTGAATAAGGAGTTGGAGCTGCAGAGATAATACATTGTTCCAAATTCCATTTCATCATACAATTCCAATTTCAACCCTATCAGGAACCCGAAATGAAATAAAGCCAGATCTTAGAAGATGTTCAAATAATGCTTATTTAAGTATTTTGAGGGCTTTTTTTTTTTCCTTTTCTAAAACAGGATTGGGTAATTGGTAACAACAGTTTTTTTTTCCTAATCCCTTCATCTTTTTTTCCCCCTTAAACAGTCATTAAGATGTACATTGACTTTTAAGTTTTTAAATTTCAGCATTAGTAGTTTTAATAGTGTAATTTAGCCTGATATTCAGCAGAGTATGTGTTATTAAGACCACTTATGTTAACTTTTGGGTGCAAAGGTTTAACTTCTTTTGAGTATTGCTATTGTTGACATAAAATAAATCAGTCTTTGTCCTCAAAACAATTTAAAGTCTAGGAGAAGGAAGTATATTTAAACAATAATTTCAATAAAGGTTGCATATGTTATGATTGTGCAGGGTATATACCAGAGAGAATAGTCAGTCCTTAGGGGCAGTGGAGCTTAGGAGAGATTTCGTGGAGGAGGAGATTACATTGACTCTGAGAAGATGAGGATGGGGCGAGCAAAAGACAAAAAGTAAGAAATGGCAGAAAACTTTTGGGTAATTGCAGGTATAACTGTAGAGTGTGATTTGTTGGGAGACAATTTAGAAGACGATTGCATAGTCTGGGTGACTGATTGAAGCTCTAAGAAATTGGATGTTGCATTCCTTCTTCTTATGACCATCCTGAAAGAACCTTCACAATGAAATGCCTTAGTAAGGTGATGTTTTGGCAGAAATTGTTGCTGTGTCATCCTTCCAGTTCATTGTTTCATAGTCCCCTATAGAAGTGTATCACATGAATATTTATTGATTTTTTTAAAATGACTTTCTCTCTTCACTATAGCTATCAGAGTATTTATTTTTGAAATGTTTTGATTTATACTCTTCCCAGTGCCTTTTTTAAAAAATTGGTCAATGTACTTAATATTTTGCTTTTCCTTAAATTCAGTAAATGCATCAAGTTCAAAAGTTGAAAGATAAAAATTGCTGATTAAATTTTTGCTCTCCCTCCCAAGGAGAGAACTTATGTTACTTGTCTTGCATATCCTCCCTGAGATATTCTTTGCTTAGAATTTGCCCATATTTGTTCTTCTGGCAAAGGATTGAATTATCTGTTCTCTAGTTTTGCCAAATATAAGTTAACTTACCACCGATTGTGCAAATTTCTTACCTTTATTTAGACACACTATGTGCCAGTGTTAATGGTATTTGCTTTCTGAAAATATTTGTCACCCCTCTTTTTTAAACTGCCTTCCAAAAAGTAGTGTATGAAGTTGGATTTAACTTAATTTAATATCGTAATTATTTTATTAGCTTTGGTGAGCCAGCACCAAGACTTAAAACACCTTTATGATAAAGTTCCCAGCTCACATTAATGCTCTAAGTATTTTCACATCATGATGGTAATGATTTTTTCTTCTCTTTGTAGACAGGGAGATTTAAAAAAGAAGAAGAAAAAAAAGAAGGGTAAGATTTCTTAAAATCTTTATGTTCCTTTCTATAAGTTAATAACTTGAGTTTAGTTCTACACGGAAACCTTAGGACATAAATACACTCCTCTTGCATACTTGAGCATTGACTTTTGATTTGACTATAGCTGCCATTTAATTTTATTATTTAAAAAGTACAACTCTGGAGTTAGATTGCCTGAATTCAAATTGTTGCTGTGGTGATGGTGCTCTTCATTGAGACTAAACAGGTCACTGAACTTACCTGCCTGAGTTTTCCATCTATAAAATGGAATATGATAACATATCTCACAGTAATGCGTGAGATACTACATATAAAGCTCTTTTAACAGTGCCTAGTGTACTAGTTCCTTATATATAAGGTGCTCTTGGAAGGGGTGATACAAGTATATAGAATTCCATAAGCTGATTTAAGAAATTTCACTTTTATAGTGATGTAGAGGAAGGTTAGCAGATCCAGTAGTTTGCATCTTTTTATTCTGCAGTACACAATATTGAACTCCATTAGAGTCACTGGGTGTTTGTTAGAAACATGTCATTACGTCCAATAGGATATAGATGGACTTGTTTGGAATTAGCAAGTCTTTCCCCTTAACCTGAATGGGTCAGCATAGGTCAGTGCCCAACCTTGGACCTTTAATCAGGGGAATGCCGTACATTGATTTACCTCTAGAGTGTCTGGTTCATAGTTTTTTGTTGATTTTGATTTTCACTTTCTTATAGTTATTCATTTTCCTGGTCCCTTATTTAAGTTTTCTAGATTCCTGCTATGAGTGAGACCATTCTTTTTCTTTCTGGCTTATTTCGCTGAGCATGATCCCTTCCAGCGCCATCCATGTTGCTGCAAATTGCATGTGTTTATCTTTTTTGAATGCTGAGTAATATTTCATGGTGTATATGTACCACATCTTCTTGATCCAGTCATCTATTTTGGGGCATTTGGGTTGTTTCCAAAGCTTAGCTATTGTAAACAGTGCTGCTATAAACATAGGGGTGCAGGTGCTCTTTGGAATTGATGTTTCTGTGTCCTTTGGGTAAATACCTAGGAGTGGAATTGCTGGATCATATGGAAGCTCTATGTCTAGTAGGTCAAGAAATCTCCATACAGCTCTCCATAGTGGTTGGACCAGTTTGCACTCCCACCAACAGTGCGGGAGAGTTCCTTTTTCTCCACATCCTTGCCAACATTTGTTGTTGCTAGTTTTTTTAATATGTGCCATTCTCACTGGTATAAGATGGTATCTCATGGTAGTTTTGATTTGCATTTCCCTGATTACAAGTGATGTTGAACATCTTTTCATATGCCTGTCGCTACATGCAAAAGAATGAAGCTTGACCACTACCTCACACCGTACACAAAAATCAACTCAAAATGAATTAAAGAACTAGACATAAGACCTGAAACCATAAAATACATAGAAGGAAATATAGGCGAAACACTACGTGATATGCACATCAAAGACATCTTTACAGACACATCACCCAAAGCAGTGATAGTGAAGGCAAAGATAAACAGCTGGGACTACATCAAATTAAAGAGCTTCTGCACAGCAAAAGAGACAATAACAAAAACAAAGAGAAACCCCACCGACTGGGAGAACATTTTTGCACACAACACTAATGATAAAGGACTGATCACAAAAATCTGCAAAGAGCTGATGAGACTCAACAACAACAAAGAAAATAATCCTGTCAAAAAATGGGCAGAAGCGCTAAAAAGAAACTTCTCTGAAGAGGAAATGCAAATGGCCAACAGGCATATGAAAAAATGTCCTATTCTTTCTTCTAATGTGTTTACTGCCACTTCAGTAGTTTTGAGATAGTACAGAAACTAACGTTTGCGTTCAATATATTACATTTAACCAGAGTTTTATTCTTCACTTTTGTTACAGTATTTGAAAATTTTTAAAAACTCAGTTAAGTATTAGTGCCAGAGAACAACCTTTACCTGCTGAGTAAAGGTAGCAAAAATAAGCTCAATTTCACTTTGCTTTCTCTTTTTCTTGTGGTTTCCAGGTGAGCATATTCTAAAACTTAACAATTGATATATGCTCAGTTTAAAAACACAAGAAACAAAGACTTTCATCATTGTAGAATGACATAAAGAGTAGACAATGCCCTCCTTTAAATTCCTGCTCCCAGAGATAATTATTTAGCTTTTCTATACATAGAAACATACAGACTGTGTATTTATTCCTCAATCAATAAGTTTTTAAAAATCTCATACGAGGGCCTCCCTCGTGGCGCAGCGGTTGAGCGCTGGGTTGCAAAGCTGCCTGCAGCCTCAGCTGCACCAGTTCAGTCCCCGGCTGCTCCCCGGCCCCCGGAGGAGGGTCCCACATGGCGCGCAGACCTCTCCTGCCGCCCGCTGCTCCCCTCAGCAGTGTGCTTCGGTCCTTCTGCCTGCTCTGCTCCCCGCTCTGGCTCTGGTGGATTCTCTCACCCTCCCGCGCTTCTGACTGTACCCAGGGCATGTACAAACAAACAAACAAACAAACAAATAAATAAATAAAAATATATGCCTCTAAAAAAATAAAAATAAAATAAAAATCTCATACGAATATATCATTAGGATAATTTGTTTTAATCTTCTAATTTAGACTGTGTTGTGCAGACTTTTTTTTAGTAGTGCAGACATTTTTTCAAATTATTAAATGTAACTGTACTTATTAACCCAGTTGTATATTTGCAAGTGTAGGTATACTATAATTTTTTGAGTTGTTTTTCTTATCGATAGACATTTAAGTTTGTTATATAAGGATATCACAAAGAATATTCTTTCAAACATAACTATGGATTTTCTCAGGATAAATTTCTAGAAATATAAATTTTAACTAGTACTGCCAAATTAAACTGCTCTCTACTAAGGCTATGCCATTATATCCTTCTGCCAGAAATGTTTTGAGTTTCCTGTCACAAACACTGGGTATTACTGCTTTTCATATTTGTCAGTTTGATTGAATTTCTTTTCATTTTTAATTAGTAAGACTTTCATCTTTTCATGGGTAGTTACGTATTTCTCCTGACTTACCCTGATTACAGATATGCCCATTCTTTGTGTGATTTATCTGTTATTAAGAATTTGTTCTATATTGAGAATACTGATCTACTCTGTTACATAGTATGCAAATATTTTTTGTTTTGATGTTTTTATTAAAAATGTATTTTTTACCAAATTAAAATTTTAAATGTTTTACATAGATATATATATGAAGTCTTTTTCTTAATGGCTTCTGAATTTCATGTCATACTTAGAAATAAAGCGTTTTTTGCTGCTAGGTTATACAGATGAAACTCTTAAATTTCAGTTCTAATGTTTTTCATTCCCAGGCTTGGACACATTGTTTAGACAATCATGAAAACCTTATGGACAAACCTCTCATTTCTTATTTGTTACACAGGAAAACTGCCTAAGAATTATGACCCCAAAGTGACTCCAGATCCAGAAAGATGGCTACCAATGCGAGAACGTTCTTACTACCGGGGAAGAAAGAAGGGTAAAAAGAAGGATCAGATTGGAAAGGGAACCCAGGGAGCAACTGCAGGCGCATCATCTGAGCTGTAAGTCATTGCTCCCCAAATGAAATCACTGAGAGCGTAGTATGATTCTTCTGAGATGGATCAGGATCATTAGTCAGAAGTTTTTTTAATATATTTTAAGTATGAGAAGTATAGTCAGATATCTTTGATAAATAGCTTGCTGTGTGCTCATAAAGGAAAGAGAATGTACTTCTGGCTTGACTGTATTAAAAATACTAGGATTATAGGATTGTATTGTAAATATTAGGATTCCAATACCTTCAAAAGTTAGCCATACTGAGTCATTTAAATCAATAGATAAACAGAAATAATCAGTAGCTAGAAAGAAGCATCTAAAATGTTATTAAATAAATTATTTCTACATGGTAGTATTATAAGTTATTTTAAGTATAAATGTTGGTATGTACCATGTGTTACTTTTTAATTATAAAGCAATAAAATTCTCATTCAAAAGAAAAATCATGGGGAGCTGGGAAACCCATCTAAAAGAGATTTTATGAGAGATCTTTAGGGCTAGAAAGTGAAATCCAGACTTTTATGTTGTTGGAATATATGAGTGACCAACACCTTCCTAATCTAATTACTTCAGGGATGCCAGTAAGACTGTGAGCAGCCCACCCACCTCTCCAAGACCTGGCAGCGCAGCAACAGCATCTGCATCTACAAGTAATATTATACCCCCAAGACACCAGAAACCTGCAGGGGCTCCAGCAACAAAAAAGAAACAGCAACAAAAAAAGAAGAAAGGTGGAAAAGGTGGCTGGTGAATAGAACATTCTTGTTGCAGGCTATTTTTAAATTAGTCTCAGTGACAACAGGAACATAATAAAGGTAACACAGAAAGAAGCACAGAGCTGCTCCCTCTCTCATCCCTACACTTTCATAAAATTATTTTCTTGTGCATCAAACAGGAAAACAACTTCCTCAAACTGTCTAGTCAGATGTACTTGTACCACCTAGCTTTGCACAGATGATGAGGACTCAAAATAATTGGCATTTACCCACCTTGCTATCTGTTGTGTCCTTTCTCTTTGTGTGTTGATCTGCTGGGTGGTTGTTGTTATTTTTCCCAGTTTCACAAACAAGGCGTATTATATAAGGTTTCCTCAGATTTAAACAGAAACTACTTCTGTTTCAAATATATTCTAAAAACACTTGTTCCTGTCAAGTCCCACTTTAAATTATGTCTTAGGAGGCCTTGGGAGACAAAAAATGAAATCTTCTGAGCATTCCAAATATCTGCTTAGAAATGTCATGTGATTCAAAAAAGGGACCTTATTAATACACTACTGTTCTTTATTACATGAACGGCCACAAGAAAACTAAATGTCTTGATTAACTTGACCATAAATTCTCAGTCATGTGATACTACAATATATAATTTTTTATTACTATACATATATAAATTAGGACTCCTTTGTGGCCCCATATTATTTTCAGATTATGGAAACATTATGCTAATTTAGAACCATAAAAAATTTAAGCCAAATATATAAATATTGCAAGTAGTAGACTCAAAGACCCAGCGTTCTGAGGGCAAATGAATTTGTTCTGTCTTATTCAGAAAGAGAGAATGGCTCCTATTGAGAGAGAGCATAAACATTGACTTCCTACATAGAGAGGAAATCAGTACCCGTATTAAAACTTAACTGTTTGGCCCAGTAAATAGATTCTGAAACTAATTAAAAGTATGACCATTATCCTTCTCAAGTGATGAAGTATTTTACAGTCAGTCTGTGGTGTCAGTATTGCTCTGGTCTTTTCTTTGCTTTCAGGCCACTTTCCCATTGAACAATCATGAGACAGACACACTGGGATTGCCCAGTTACTATTACTAGTTGCCCTTGTGAGTACTCATTTGATGCTGCCCAAGATAGCATTGAATTTAAACTTAACGAGAATTTCCTTGTGATATTACTCTGTCCTTGTTAGTAAAGTGCTACTGTTTGACACAACATACTGAAACTCCTTCAAGAGTTTTTTAAAAGGCTTTTCTCCTTTACAACAGCAAGAAATGTGGTGCTGCCTCTCTCTAGCATAATCTGGTGGCACTGAAACAAGAGACCCTCATAAAATATAAATGATTTATTATGGTATAATACTTTTTGAGCTCTCAGAAAGAGTCTTTTGGTAAGAATCACATATTTATTCCTCCTGAATATATACCCAATTACAGGAGTAATCGTTAGTATATTTGTTATTGTGGAGTCCATTAGATTTCTGTAGTGAAAGATAATCATTTTTTTTTTTAAGATAACTCAGCTACAGAATTGTGAGAATTATCCATCTTTGAAGATTTTGACCCAAGGCAAGACAGTGACATTTACAGTTCTCTATTTAGTCATTGCAATTGCCATTGTTACTACCAGTCATTACTAAGCAACAGAAACCTCAGTTCAAATAAATAACTGTAAAATGAAGTTGTAAACATTACATTTACTTTCTAGTAGTTATTTCTTCTTTGGGATGGGTCTTTAACAATGACATACATACTTTGTGTGTATATATATGTATGTGATACATTTATAAAAAGCCCAATTGGATACATCCATTCACTCTGGCACCTTTTAAAATAAAAATATTGTCGTGATTATGGAGTAAGGTGTTTCAGTCTTGGCATTTTATGGAGGACTTCCTGGTTACTAGTAGATCTAAGAATAGTTTAAGGTGAGTTTCTAAAATTGTCTCCTGACTCCCTTCAAAGCCACAAAACTAATGGGATTGAGACAACCCGGTTTTTCGTGTCACTGAAAATTCATGTTGATGTGTGAATATGAACGAATTGATAGATGAATTGAGGAGCAAGCCTTTTTTTTAAAGTTATTAAGCATAGTGTTTTCAACTTTGAAACCATGAGCCTTAAGTTGTTGCATCATCCGAATCTTCCAGAACCTCCATTTAGTATTACAAGTTTGTTTTGCAACTTAGGTTCACGAAGGAAAATCAGTTTGTTGCATTGAGGTAACTTTGTTAGATTGTGAAATATACTAGCGCTCAGTTTAACAAAATAAAAAGAATCATCCATCTACTTTTCAACCAGTTGAAGAAGCCTTATGGCTCCTTTGCAAAGCCCCCGAGGGTGCCTAATTACTTACTAGGTCTTTGGGGGCAACTATTTTGTTTGAACCGGTATTACAGGTAGCCCTGATGCTGGCTGACTGGCCTCCAGGGAATTTTTAATTTTTTTAAGAGAAGTACAACCGGAATTTAAAATTAACGAGTCATTCACATTACTCGGGTTTTCCCTTAAGCATTTTGATGTGGCCGCCGCATACTCCTGCGGAGTTTAGTCAGGGTGAAGGTTTGGAGATAGGCTTGTGGCTTCACTTTCTACACTGGCGATTGTGGCTGGGAGACGGCGGACTCTGCGCCTTAAGCGTCCCCAGGTCCGAGACACGTGCGTGGGGCGGGCTCGGGGTGCCGCGAGGTTGATCTGACGCCGTGATTCGGGCGGGCGTGAAGGCCCTTCTGGGACACTGCCCAGCCAGAGGCGATGGCGCCGCTGCGCCTCCCGAGCAAGTGGCCCTGGGGGCCTTTTCTCCGCGGGTTTCTCCCTACCACACCCGCCGGCTTTTCCAGCTCCGGCGACCCAAGCTCTCCCTTCCTCTAGCACCCGTGGGCTCCCCACTCCACTCCGCTCCACTCCACTCCGCTCCATCGCGCCGCGTCGCCAGATGTAGCGAATCCGCGCGGCTCTGACCGAGCTGGCCCGCGAGCGCGAGGCGGCGGCGCGTGTGTGGCCCGCGCTGCGTGGACCTACGTCCCCCGCCCCGCCCGCGCCCCGCGGCGCCACACCTGCACACCTGCACACCTGCCGGGACCCGGCGGCGGCACCAGCGCGCGGGCGCGCGGGCGGCGGGGAGAGCGCGGGGCGGGGAGATGGACAGGGGGCGGCTGAACAGGAGGGAGAAGGGGAAGGAGCCGGAGAAAGTTCGGGAAAAGGGGAAGGATGAGAAAAAGAACGAGGCGGAGAAGGAGAAACTGAAGGGAAAGGAAAAAGAGAAAGGAAAAGAGGAGAAAAGTAAGAAAAAAGAGTATAAAGAGGAAAAGAGCAACGAGCGAGAGACAAAAAAAGAGAAGGAACAATTTCAGGGCAAAGAAGAGGAGAAGCGACAGAACATCTTGACGAAGCCCCTGCTGGAGCCGCCGGTAAGACCCGGGACCGGACCCCGCGGCCGTTACGGGCGTTCAGACCCCCGCGCCGGCTGTCACGTCGGAGGGCGGGGGGAATCGGGGTGCGTTTTCGGGCTTTTCCTCTGTGGAAGGAAGGGGCGCGCCAAGCCCCTTCCCCTGACCCCCTCCCCGCTGCCCCTGAGCGAGCCTGACCTGCGGCCCAGCCCCCCTCAGTCCAGGGCCGAGGGAGGAGGGAGCCAAGCTGGTCCCCCCGGTCGCTGGGACACCCCCTCTGACCCCACCTCCGTCCCGGGCTCGGCTCGCTCGCACCCCAGCGACAGCGCGGAAACCTCCCCCAGCTCCTGCCAGCAGCTCCCGATCTGGGCCTTTTGGTTGAACACGTTCTTCGTGGCAAGGGGCGGGGTTCCAGAACTGTCTGGGGCCGGCTGAACCTTTCCTGGGAGCGCTGTGGTTACCGTTCCCATTGTTTGCAGACCACCGGGCGCCCAGAAGGACCGGTCACAACATTTTCACACCGTCTCTCAGACACCACACGTTGCAGTTACAAAAAGAGAAGTAACCAGATTCTACTACTAGGAGGCTTTTAGTCAACTCCTAGAGGCAGAGCGTTGCCAGGGCCCGAGGAAAGCGGGGGGAGGGGTTGATGTGTTAGGACTCTTGTCCCTTTCACAGGTGACACTTGTTATGAGATGTGGTGGTGGTGATGGTCGCACAACATAGGAATGTATTTCATGCCATTGCACTGTACACTTAAAATGGTGAAGATGGTAAATTGTGTGTATTTACCACAATTTTAAAATCGAGGGGGTGGGAATAAACATTGCTTGGATCGAGTCAATGGGCTCTGTGTTCCTGGAATTCTTGAACTCAGAACTGCTTTCTGGTTCTTACAATGAGAATTATTACCAGATCTGATCTCTGGTAAAATACAGACTTCGCAGATCCACATGTAAGTTAAAGGAATACTTTTGACAAGGAACACTGTTGATCAGAATCATGTTTCATGCCAGAGGTCCTGATTTACAATCATCTTAAGAGATGATAAGCATAAGTTAAAATATATAAGAAAGCATGTATTTTAGATGAAAAAGTAAGCAAAATGTAAAGAATCAATGACTGCAGAATTTCTGGATTGGATGGACTTTAAGGACAGCAACACGGTTTGAAAGGGAGTAGGGACCCATTTTTTGCTTAAATATTTATAGGATCTAAGACGCCATTATTTTAGATATACTAGGGGGGGAAATGCTGCCAACCAAAATATGACATATAAATATTTTGCATGGACTACAAAATATTCATTTCAGATATGTTAAAATATGAAAAAATGCATGTTGTAATCGATGAACTGGATGGGGGCATACAAAGTAAGGACAGTGGTGAAGATATGAGGGGTACACAACACCCTGCAGCCCTTTGTTGGTGCCCCCTTGCTTTAAAGTAAGCAATTTAAAACCAATGAATGAAGTCTATATCAAGTGCCCCCTTCCTTACATGCAAACTCTAAGAATGACATGAAATTAAGATACAGATGGGAGGGAATGGGGTAGGAGGTGGGGCTGCAGGTAGGAAACTTCCGTGGGAATACAATTGCTTTAAGAGCCATCAAGAATTCAATCCAAGGGCCTCCCCGGTGGCGCAGCGGTTGAGCGCTGGGTTGCGAAGCTGCCCGCAGCCTCTGCAGCACCAGTTCGATCCCCGGCTGCTCCCCGGCCACCGGAGGAGGGTCCCACATGGCGCGCAGACCTCTCCTGCCGCCCGCTGCTCCCCTCAGCAGTGTGCTTCGCCTTTCTGCCTGCTCTGCTCCCCGCTCTGGCTCTGGGGAATTCTCTCACCCTCCCGCGCTTCTGACTGTACCCAGTGCTTGTATTAAAAAAAAATAATAAATAAATCTTTAAAAAAAAAAAAAAGAATTCAATCCAAAAACAATTGTACTTTTTCTAATTCTGTTATTCACCACACAGACTTTATAAATCATGTGGTCTACACAAGTCTGTGTATTTGAGCAGAGCTTAAAACTTCTTACTTTCACAAAGACCTTTTTAAAAAAATAAAAGGTGGGACATACATTCTAATTCTATTTAAGGTCATTTTTTGGTGTGATTAAACAGAAATGTGTAAGATTATTGTCATTTCTAAACCCTTGCCATTATGACTAGTGTTTTGGGTGCATAAGAAACTTCTAGGAGGCTATTTGGGAAATAGAATTGAATTTGTTTTTTGTTTTTTTTGTTTTTTTTTTAATAGAGGCATGTTTTATTTATTTGTTTGTTTGTTTGTTTATACATGCGCTGGGTACAGTCAGAAGTGCGGGAGGGTGAGAGAATTCACCAGAGCCGGAGCGGGGAACAGAACAGGCAGAAGGACCGAAGCACACTGCTGAGGGGAGCAGCGGGCGGCAGGAGAGGTCTGCACGCCATGTGGGACCCTCCTCCGGTGGCCGGGGAGCAGCCGGGGATCGAACCGGCGCCGCAGAGGCCGCGGGCAGCTTCTCAACCCAGCGCTCAACCGCTGGGCCACAGGGGAGGCCCGGGAAATAGAATTGAATACCTGTGAGCACGCTGGCTGCATTGTTGCTCACTTATTACTGTTTATATTAAAACTTTGCACCCTAGAAACCATCCTTCTGAGCATGGGGGACTTTTTCTTTCTGTCTTCACACCAACATGCTTTTGTCCCGCAATCATTGGTCATAAACATGTCTAAGACTCACTTGTTCATGGGATACTTCCTTCTGAAGTATACAACTAATCTAACAGGTTTTAACATCAGGCTTAAAAATGAACGCTCTTTTGTAATTGGAGCTGGTTTAACAGTTTTTATCACCTTAAACTTTTCATTTGATCATGATATTTATATTAAAAAGTATGAGAGGAAACTTCCCTAACATCTTTTAGACTAGTGGTCCAATTTGGAAGACACGACAGATTAATAATATGGTTTAATTAGAGGTTACGGTTTAATTGAGTGATACGGTCAATACCTGAATCCTGGAGGTTCCAAGACCCCAAACAGCAAAAGGAATTTTGGTGCAATCCCCAATGAACATGAACCCACGAAACAAAGTGAAATCTGAAAATTGTTGCTCTGACCTGTGGCACCTCCCATAAATCCTGATATGTCAACATAAAGTATATATTCCATAGAAAAAACAGGAGTGGAGAAGGGGGGTTGTATGATTAACTTCACATAATTAATGACTAATTATAAATACAAACCAATTGGTACAGTTTGTTCCAAGTCTATTAAATGTTTTATAAAATTGTGTAGTGTGGTTTATAATTCCACAAATGTGGGCCTCCCCTGGTGGCGCAGCAGTTGAGTGCTGGGCTGCAAAGCTGCCCACAGCCTCTGCAGCACCAGGTTCGATCCCCGGCCACCCCCCACCTCCCCCACCACCCAACTTCGTGAGGGTCCCACAAGGAGCGCAGACCTCTCCTGCCTTGCCTGCTGCTCCCCTCAGCAGTGTATTTTGTCAGTCTGCCTGTTCCATTCCCTGCTCTGGCTCTGGTGAATTCTCTCACCCTCCCGTGCTTCTGACTGTACCCAGTGCTTGTATAAATAAATAAATCTTTAATATATATAATATATATTATATATAATTATATATATATAATTCCACAAATGTTAATGGCTCCCACCACTGGTAGACACACTGCCAGGAGTCAGGAAAACAAAGCCTCCATAACCTAGGTTTATTGATTTGTCTTTTATTTCACAGGGTAAAGATAAGCAGATCCTAGTGTTGGGTCTGGATGGAGCAGGAAAGACCAGTGTCCTCCACTCACTAGCTTTAAACAAAGTCCAGCACAGCGTGGCACCCACCCAAGGTTTCAATGAAGTGTGCATCCACACCGAAGACAGCCAGATGAGGTTCCTGGAGAGTAAGCCTTTGTCTCATTAGTTATGGGATAGTTGAATTTTGCTTTGCCAGACAGAACGTTAACAGCAGACAGAATGTTAACTATCCTAGGCCAAGCATAATGTTAATAGCACTGGGTCCGAGTATAAAGTAACACTGGGTCAACTTTTCCTAGTCTGAGAACAGAGAACACATGTGGAGTTCAGTACTAGTGTGCACTGGGCGGGTAAATCTCATTTTGCTCTTTTTTTCTTCTTTTTGCAGTGGTGATAAAAGTAAGTTGAGAGGAAGGTTTTGGCATCCCCTCTTACATCAGCTTCCCTCCTCTCATACTGTCTCAAATAGGCATGAAATTAAAGTGAATAGTGTGTGCTTCCTTCTCTTAAAGACAATTGTAGTAAGCCCCGCTTCCTTTTATAACCAAATGATGGCCCAGAAGCCCTTCCTCCATAATAATTCTGGAGTCACCCCTCTCTAAACACTGCTTTTCCCAGAGTTGTGTCTGTTCACACTCTCCTTGCATGGTTTCAACTATCCTCTTGGCATTAAATACCATCTTTATTCTGCTGACTTTCAGATGTATCTATCCAACCCAAACGTATCTAAATGTCACCTGACATTTCTACCTGACATGTCAAATCAGTCTGTCAAACCTAACATGATCAAAACAAAGTGCTTGGTCTACCTCCACATCTGTTTCTTTGGTCAGTAAATGGCTCCTCAGTCATTAATTCATTCAAGCCAGGAAACATGGAGTCACCCTAGATTCCTCCTTTTGTATCCCCATCTCGAGTGTACAAGTAAGGCTCTGAATTTTCCTACATCTAGAACATCTCTCAGAATCATCGATGACATCCTTTCCCACTTCCCCTCTGTAAGTCAGACCCTCCATCATCTCTTAGATTACTGCAGTCACTTTTTCATTTTTTCTTTCATCCAGCTATGAAAAATATGTTAGCACAAATATTACTAACTTAAAACTCAGTAGCAATCTCATACTTGAAATAAAACCTGAAGTCTTTGTCTTAGCGTATGCAACCCTTTATCAACTGCCTCTTTAACCTTCTCATTTTACTCCAGCCCGTCTGCTCTTTTTTCTCTTTTTAAAGGTTCTTCTTGGGGGTGCTTCCCCTCAAAAATAGTTTCTACTGCCCTTTCCTAGCCCTTGACTTGATGGTTAACTCCCAAACTTCAAGTATTTGCTTGAAGTCATTTCTTCTAAGTATGTTCGAGTCATTTCTTCTAAGTATGTTCCCCCATTTTCTATTTGCTTCCTCTGTAAGGTTTTTAACATTCAGTTTTTTTTTTTTTTCATTATGATCAGTCTTCCCCACTAGACATCAAATTTCGCAGGGACGGTGACCATACTCAGTTTCTTTAATTCAGTGTGCACACTCAGTGCCCGGATATACTTGCAGGTGGTAAGAAAATCTTCCAGGCTACCTGCCCCAATCCATTCTTTCCCCCAAAGAAAAGAAAAATAAAAACAACATATGAGCTGAAACTGGAGTGGAAGTTATGACAGACAAGCAAACAGAAAAGTGTTATTATCTTCCTGCTCCCTGATTTGATGCTTCATGGTTTTGTGTGTCTTTTTTCTCTGTTATTCGCTGTAGTTGGTGGTAGTGAACCTTTTCGTCCCTATTGGGAGATGTACCTGTCCAGGGGATTGCTACTGATCTTTGTGGTGGATTCAGCAGATCACAACAGATTACCTGAAGCCAAAAAACACCTTCATCAACTAATCGAAACAAATCCAATCCTTCCTCTGGTTGTGTTTGCAAACAAACAGGTAAAAATCTGCAAATGTAAATTGTGCTCACTAGTTTTATTAAGACTAAAAATGCCTACTTTAATAGCTAGATATTCAACAGCATGCCATATAATCAATTCAATGTGTAGTTATTAGATCTACTGGTTATGAATTCCTTGAGGAGTAGAATCCCAAAAATTTGATCAGTAGAAATAATTGTCACCCAAAAAACCCACACACTGTCAAATGCTATCATCAGTAAAATACGTTATGGACAAAAACCAATTATGAATCAAATTTTTGTTGTTAAAGATAAACTAAAAGTAATTGACTATTGAAAATAGCTTTGGGGAAAATAAAAAGGAAACAAATAATAAAATTAAAAGCAGATACACTACACTGTTTAGAAAATTGATTAAGGTGTTATATTGACTTAACTTCTTTCCAGAAAATATTTTTTTGATGGTGACTCAGAGAATGCTCATATAATACTGATGAAAATCTTCCTATTCAAACAACCACTAGGATTTTAATCATGTGGTCACTTTTACTCAATTGGAGGTGGGGTCATTGAACGCAACAAATGAGAATAAAAATATTCAAAAGGATCATAAAATAACTCAGTTCTTTTCTCTTCTTTTTCCATTCCGGGTGAAGGATCTTGAAACTGCCTATCACATTACAGATATCCATGAGGCTTTGGCATTATCTGAGGTGGGAAATGACAGGAAGATGTTCCTGTTTGGAACCCAAGTGACTGAGAACGGCTCAGAGATACCCTCCACCATGCAAGATGCCAAAGACCTGATTGCACATTTGGCTGCGGATATACAGCGTGCAGCGCCACGCGCACTGTGCGGGCTGGCCAGCTAAGCGTCACCAACACGGGGGTGTGCAGGACCAGGCTTGGAAACAATGGTTTCCACTTTCAAATAAAAAATAAGCCATTTTCCATTTTTTCAATGTACCACATATACACAAACATAATGTTAACTGGTTAAGAGCATCTTTTATTTAGGTTTTGAACTGTAAAAAAAAAAAATGGTAACATTGGTAAAACAATGTATTTAGGGGTTTTTAGTCAACAAAGATAAAGTGAACATTAGCATGCATTTGCCCCATCATTTGTAGTTTTCAATAAAAAAAACTGAGATTTACATTAAAATATTTTAATAAACGCCTTTTTAAGTAAAAACCCAGGTGTCTATCCTTCAGATGGATCCATTTAACTCTGTAGGGAAAGAAAAATTGGATAGGACAGTCAGAAAAGCAAACACTATCAAACTGACAGAAATACAAATGAACAGCATTCAGAAAGATTCAGCAAAGTCTTCTCTTTTAGGAGCTGGTTAGACATGGAATATGGTGGGGATTTGTTTTTCAAATTCTTGACATTTTGCTCTTTTTATGTGCTTTTATGTACAGTGTCACTTCACTGTGCTTCGTGTGATGGCACTTCAAAGATAGTGCATTTTTTACAAATTGAAGGTTTGTGTCAATTCCATGTTCACCAAGTTTGTTGGCACCATTTTCCCAACAACATGTGCTCATTTCATGCCTCTGAGCAACGTGTTGGTAATTCTCAGCTTTTAGAACTTTTTCATTAGTATTATATCTGTGATAGTGACCTATGATCGGTGATTTTTGGTGTCATTACTGCAATTGTTCTTGAGTGCCCATATAAGACAGTGAATTTGATAAATGTTTGTTTTTTAGTGGCTCTTCTGATCAGCCACTCCGCCATTTCTCTCCCTTTCCTCAGGCCTCCTTATGCCCTAAGACCCAACCATACTGTAATTAGGCCAATTCATAACCCTACAAGGGCCTTTTAAATGTTTAGGTGAAATAGTCTCACATCTCTCACTTTAAATCAAAAGCTAGAAGGGGCCTCCCTGGTGGCTCAAGGCAGCACTATGAAGCTGTCTGCAGCCACTGCAGCATGAGTTTGATCCCCGGCCAGGAAGCTAACTCACGTGGTGCAGCAGACCTCTCCTGTCTTGCCTGCTGCTCCCCTCAGCAGTGTATTTCAATCAATCTTCCTGTTCCGTTCCCTATTCTGTCTCTGATGAATCCTCTCACCCCCAGACACACACACCTCTGGCCTGTACCCTAGTTCTTATATGCAAAAATAAATAAATCTTTTTTTTTTTAAAAAAAGAAAGCTATAATTGACTACGCTTAGTAAGGAAGGCATGGTGAAGGTGGAGATAGGCTGAAAGCTAAACCATTCGAGCCAGTTAACCAAGTTGTGTTGCAAAGGAAAAGTTCTTGAAGGAGTTACAAGTGCTACTCCAGTGAACACATGAATGACAAGAAAGGGAAGCGGCCTTGCTGCTGAGGTGGAGACAGTTTTAGTGGCCTGGATAGAAGAGCAAACCAGCCACCACGGTGTCTTAAGTCAAAGCCTGATCCAGAACAAGGCCCTAACTCTCTTCAATTCTGTGAATGCTGAGAGATCAGGAAGTCTGTGAGACTGGATCACACAGTGATTCAGGATTTCAACCTCTGTCCCAAGGATTTCCATGAACTGGGTCCTGGCCAAATTACTTGACAATTTTGTAACCTTCTTACGTATCACTCTGGAAAATGACTCCATCAAATGCAGTCTACTTCTAGCCCTAAACTTTGCCTCTATGTGGTATCTCATGTTTTCTAGCATGGTCAGAGGCATTCGTAAGTTCTTGATGCTTCTTTCAGAGGTGTGCCAGAAGCTTTCAGATAGGGCATGATATCTCTTTTCTTCCTTGCTGAGCCTTATTTTTATCACCACCTGATTTTGGATTTTAGATTCCGCATTTTGACAACTAGCGTTTGGCTAGAGTTTTCCCTTCAGTGAACAATTATGGAGTGCCAAACATGGTGGTCATTGCTTGATGCTGGGAGTGATTGAAACCGGGACTTGATGTGCTCTCTGGCTTGCAAGGGACATACAAGTCGCAGGAGTTCCAAAGGAAATGGCATACAGCTAAGATGGGATGGCATGTCATCAAAAAAGCTGGCTGGCTAGCTGTCTTCCTAGCAGGACTCAGGGGGTAGCGAGATTTACCTTGGAAAATTTAGTGCAATCTGGCCTCTCTTGCCAACCTTCCAGCCTCAGCAACTATAGACTTAGCACTCTTAGAGCGCCCATCTCTTTTCATTTACTCGTTTAGTCAACATCTTCATGCCAGGAAATTTGTCAGAACTCTTAGTTAAAAATGACGGAAATTCAACTTCACTTGTGTGTGAAAGAAAATTCAATTTGGGGGGTTCACTATACTGAAAATCTGGTTTATCCAAGATAATAAGGCTGTCTTTCCATCTCTTGATACTGATAACTTGTGCTTGGCTTAATTCTCAGATCGCCTCTGCAAGGGCCTGCCTCCCAAGATTCACATAGCTCATGACCCCAAAGTAAAGTGGACCCTCTGTTTGTTTATTATTGAGTCAACACTGGTTTCCATTGTTATTGGTATTTTGAAGTACAGGATCCCCCCTCTTCAGGTGTCATTACTGTAGTGCACCCACCACCAAAAGCACTCAGAATCCACTACTATAGTCCACTGTGCTTTCTCCCCAATTTTTTCTCACCCCTGCCCCTCCCACTCTCATAGCTTCAGTTCTATAGCTTTTAAGGGTTAGTTTTTCAGCTTGTCTTTATCTGATCTTTCATTTGTTTTCTCTATATTCCACATATAAGTGGCACCATTCAGTATTTTTCTTTCTCCATACAACATTTCACTTAGCATAATGCCCTCCAGCTCCATTCATGTTGTCCCAAAGGGCATCAGTTTATCTTTTTTGATTGCTCAGTAACATTCCATTATGTATATAAACCATATCTTCTTGATCCACTCCTCTGTTTTCCGGCATTTAGTTTGCTTCCATAGCTTGCCTATAGTAAATGGTGTTGCAATGAACATGGGAGTACAAGTTTCCTTTCAAATCAGTATTTTGTATTCTTTGGGTAGATAACTAAGAGTGGAATTATTGGGCCATAAGAGAGATCCATTTTTAATCTTTGAGTAACTTCCATACTCTTTTCCATTGTACCCTCTCTTTTAAAGCTGATAACAGGAACTGGAGGGGATTATGCTAAGTGAAATAAGTCAAGGAGAAAAGGCAAATACTGGATGATGTCACTCATATGTGGAATATAAAGAAACAAGGCAAGGGAACTGACCAAATTAAACCAAAACAAACCTTAGAAATTTGACTGCAGAATTGAAGTTACTAGAGGGGTAGGAAGGTTGCGCATGGGAACTAAGGGGAAAGGAGGCCCAATAGCTTAAAGATTATGAGTGTTTTGATGGTGGCTGTGGTGTGGTGACACACAACTGAGGAAGTGTGACTATATTCCCCCATATACAGTGTTGTAAATCAACATCACCTCAATATAAAAATATAAATAACAAAGCCATCCAGGAGATCTCCTGAGTTGTGGGTCTGCTACTCCTAGGCAGCCTATTCGGCTGCCATTTTGACACCTAAACAAGGTCAAAATGGCCCGGCCAGTTAGGAACAGGAGCCCAACCCTTCAGCCCTTCAAATCAAACAAGAGCACAAAGCTGGACCACACTGGGAAGGTTGTGCATCAAGAGGTATGGCCGGAATGCCCGGGGTGGGGGGCGGGGTGGGGGGGCTGAGGACCCATGCATAACATGTACCTCAAAAGGTATGTCCGGAATGCCCAGGGGGTTGAGGACCGATGCATAACACATACTCCCAACTTATACATCACGAGGTATGACCGGGAAGGCCTGGGGGGGGCTGAGGACTAATGTATGACAAGGGACCCCAGAAGCTGATCAGTGGACCGCCTTGTTGATAAGATTAGAACCATGGCTGGGGATTAGGGTGTATCATCAAGTAGATAAGAAGTGCCTGGAGGGCAGACTCACAATCCCTGATCTTCTACACCCTTCCCCTTTCTTTAATCTCCTTTCAACCAATTACCTGTGTCAACAAAAAGGGCCAGGATCTTGCTCTTCAGCAGCATCCTGCATTTTGCAGCCTACTCCACGGCTCCCATTTGTCAGTGCAGTGTTGTCCCACGCAACAGTGGGTGGGTACTGGATGACTCTATTGGGGTCACATAGTTATTACTGAACCAACCCTTGTAGTCATATTACCCAGTCCTGGCATGGGGAGCAGGATTAGCCCCCTTAAACTATGGAATGGGTTCTAATATAAGAACAGGGATGGGATGCTAGGTAGGAAAGCAACAGAAAAGACAGATTCCCACAGTCACTCACGGTGCTGAGCACTGAGAATACACGAGGACAGACAATATCTCTTGTCATTAAGGAACTTGCTTCTAGCTGGGGAGGCACATACAATGCACATGTGTGTACACGAATACATTGTCCTCAGAAGTTGTGCTGTTCACAAGATAATTGTAGGATCTATAGATATGATTCTTAGCTCGCTTCATTAGCCATAGTGCCCTGTAATAAGAAGCCCAGTTGTAGCAGAAAGTACTTTTAATCCACCAGTATTTCTTTGTGACTGTGTGTAGAACATCATATGCAGATAAAGTTAAAAAAAAAAAAAAACGGAGATTTTTTTGACTATTAAGTGAGGACCAAAAGTCAGGTTGGGTGGCGCCTCCTCCCACAACATTCATTCCTATTGCTGGGCATTTGCTACTGGAACTAATAGAAGTCAATCCTAGTGAAGGAGGGGCTCCGAATAGTGTGGATCTCGGCATCCCTCCCAGCACGATTAAGAGAAAAAGACTAGGGCCTCCCCTGGTGGCGCAGGCGGTTGAGCGCGGTGCTGTGACGCTGTCCACAGCCTCTGCAGCGCGGGTTTGATTCCCGGCCGCTCAGGGAGATACCCACATGGCGCAGCAGACCTCTCCTGTCTGCTTGCTGCTCCCCTCAGCAGTGTATTTCATCAGTCTGCCTGTTCTGTTCCCCCTGTGTCTCTGGTGAATCCGCTCACCCTCCCGCACATCTGGCCGTACCCCAGTTCTTGATTAAATACATAATAATAAAAAAATCTAAAAAAAGAGAATGACAAAGACCTAGGGTGCCAAGGACCCTCTGAACCCTCACGGAGACCTGGCTCTTCGAAATGGCGGGCGCTATAACTAGACTGGAAGCCGGTTGTTCTCCCCCGGGGTCCCCGTAACCGAGGGCACGCGAGCGTCCTCGCTCTCCACACAGGTCAGGAGTCCGGCACTTTCCCGGGCGCCGCGCCTCTGGCTTCGCGCCACCGGAGCTGGGGCGCTGAGGGCCCGTGCGGCCGCGCGTCCCCTTGGCAACCCGAGAACATGCGGCTGGAGGGAGGTTAAGGGGTGTTAGGGTCCTCCGGTGGCCGCGGGGTCCGGCCCAGCGGTCTGGGGCGGGGCAGCGAGCGCCCCCCGCCCACCGCGCAGAGCGCGCGCAGCTCCCCGCAGCCCGCAGAGGCGCCGGCGCCGCGCGCCCGGGAGCGTCCAGGCACCGATGGAGAACCAGGAGTTTTCGGCTTCGTCCGCAGTGTCCGAGGAGCGTGACACCGCGGCAGAGCAAGGCGGTTACTCTAAAAGCGTCCAGGAGTCCCTAGTACACAGGATCCTCGAAGCAGACAAGCTGGAGGAGTGTGAGGAGCTCCAAGAACCCGAGTCGGACCAGCAAGATGAGTTCCCAGAGCCGGACGAGTCCCGCGCGTCCCAGGAGCCCAGTGGGTCCCAGGACTACCCTGAGTCCTGCAGACCCGATGAGTCCCAGGACTACTCTGAGTCCCAAGAGATCAGCGCACCCCAGCACTCCAGCGAGCACAACGAGGCCCTCGATCTCGATCTCCGTGCTCCCTTTGAGCCTCTTGCGCCCAGCAAGCCCAGCTGCCTCCCTGACGAGCCCCGCAAGCCCCACAGGCCCCATGCTCGCTCCCGCCGGCCCCCCAAGACCCTAGAAGTCCAGTTGCAACCCGGCGCCACTGCAGAGGTCGCCACATCTGTGATGACCAGCTTTTCGCCACGGATTCCACTAGCTTCCCTGAGCGGTAGGTGTTGGGGCCCCTCCAAGGCACTGAGACTCCCTGACCCATCTAGAACTGCGGGTGGGGGTGGGGGGTTGTAGGTGAAGGCTTGCACGCAAAACTTCACCCATGTTTTAAAGGAAGCTGACCGTGTCAATACTGCTGCTTTGCAGTCCTGTCATTGGACCGCAAGGGACTCTCATGGAAAATCCACCAGATGACCTCCCAGCTGTCCTTGACTATCCATTGCCGCTTCTTTTTGAAGCCCTTTAGTCATTGCATTCCTCTGGACTGCCACTCTGATGATTAAGTCTCCTATAGCACTGAAGATTTTATCATTATTATCTTTCTTTGCAACTAAAAAGAGGGGTCCCTGAAGGGAGGGTGGTTTTGTTAGTGTTTGGCACGTGGTAGCCCTTAATACTTGCTATTACACTGCTAAAGCTATAACAAAAGCACTCATGGAGGAGCTTTCAGAGCATACTGCTGAGCACTCACTGTTGTGCTGGGTCCTCACAAAGTTCACAGGTAACAGGGCTGACAGGACTTTTATATAAACCTTTGCTCTGACCACACCAGCTTTCTTATGACCTCACATTGATGACCCAACCCAAAACAGCGCTTGGTCCACATTGGGCTCTTAACCCGTGGCTGACCACTTTTTAAACTTTCTGTTCTCCCTAACGCCTCTTCATCAGCTTCCATTCTAGAATGGTCTATCATTTCAGTTATTCTTTGCAACATCTTCCACCACCCATTGCCTTTTTGGCTGTTCATCATACTTTTCCTGGAAAAACCCCAATGTTGCTTGAACCCACTCACCCACCTGCCCACATCCGAGCGGCTGGTTCTTTTTGAACAAAATTACCCAATCATATTGACCACTTTTATTTCCGTTTCATAGCTATGAATCCCAATAGGACATTCAACACTGTCTAGCAAGGCCGCTTTTTTTTTTTCCTCCTGCTAAGTTAATTCTCTCAATTTCTGAGATGACTAAATGCCTTCTCTACAGTCCTCCAAACTTCACACCCGAGGCCTCCAAACAGCTGAACACTATCTCATATTTTATTGAGAAAATAGAAACAGTCAGTCATGGACTCCCTTATTTTCTTTCTGCTATTCTATTGCCTTATGCAAATTTGTACCCATGGATTCTTGTTCGTATTTCAGGGAAGAATAAGTACCTCCTCTATGAAAAACAGAATCCTCTACTTGTGCTTTGCATCTCACTATTGTTCTGAAGAACTTTGTTCTTGAAGTTATATCCTCCCTCTCCCACATCAGCCATTTCCCCATCCTAATGAAACCTGCCCCAGTATGAGACACATATATCTCTCGAATCTTCCATCTCGAAATAATCTTTGAGCCCGTATTGTCTTCAGATCCCTCTTCTCCAAACATGCACCACAATATTTCTGTTCTTCACTGAAGATTTGTCTATAAAGTGTTATCTGGACTCAGGAATAACTCCATTTTCACACTATCATTCCCTCCTTAACCCACATACTTAAGCCTTTTTCCCCTTTACTCCACTGAAGCCCGGTTTATTGTCTTTCTGTCACCAACCTTGTCTTCATGTCTGCAGATTTCATTATCCAAATGGATGATCCACTTGGCTTCTCAGTTCTTTGACCTCACTTGTCATGATCCTGTTCTTCACCCTAGCTTAGGTACTCACTACCCTAACCTTTGATAACATCAATTGCTGTACCATTTACAGACTTTTTAAAGCACTCTAATCTCTAAGCACTCACTCCTTGCACCCCCTCTTATCAAAGCTTCAGCTTCAAAGGGACACTCATCTACTGATGCTGCTAACTTTTCCTTACCTATCACCATCTATGTCCTTCTGTCTCTCTACTCATCGCATAGTCCATGACCACTAATGGAATCATTCCCTTGAAGATTTTCTTAGCTCTCTTGCCTATCCCTCCTTTATTCATGTTTATTTAAATCCCATTCTTGCTTGCACTTGAAAAACATGTAATGATAAGAGACAGGCAACTGTGCTAATTGATCTCAAACTTCGAGCAGGTTCTCAAGTGCTGCTTGACCATCATACTATATTTCCCAATTCATTTTCTAACATGGAATCTGCTAGCACCTGTACATGTATACAGTAGCTTTTCCCCCGTTAATAATGAACTGTCCTTGTTACTCTCAACCTGTATATTGGATATCATCCATCTAACTTTAAGTTCCTTGCTCATATAATTAGCTTCCCTCTCCTGCATCGTTGTGCTCTCCACCGGTCAATCTCATTAGCACATGAACAAGTAGCAATATCTTTAAAAACAAGACTCCTCCCTTATTGTTATTTGCCCCTCTGGATACTGCTCTTGTTTCTTTTCTCTTTAGAGAAAAATTCCTCAAAATAGTTATCTTTAAGTGATTGCTTCCACCGCCCTCTCTCCCCATTCTCTTCATAGTTCTCAGTTAAGCTTTCATCTCTTCTGCTTAGCTAAGTTGCTCTTGTAGGTCACACTGATCTGTCTTGCCAGAGTCAATGGTTAATTCATCCTTATCTCATGCCTTTAACACATTCACTTCCTCTTTCTTAGAAGTTTTCTTTACTTGACTTCACCTACCACTGCCTCCATGGTCATCCTACTTCACTGATCCTGACTTGGATTCCGTTCCTGGATCCTCCTTCTCTTTCCAGCCTCTAGATTGAAGTGACTGATGACTCAGTTCATTCAAGTTCTTTTAGAACTTTCTTTGTTCCCTGGGTGATGTCATCAGTTTCATGTCTTTTATTGTATGCTGGTAACTTTCCAGACTAGCCTCAAAGTCTCCCTTGAAATCTGGAGTTTTATACCATTACCTATTTAATATTCCTAATCGAATAGCTAGTAGGCATGTAAACAATGTCCATAAGTGAACCCTACATCCATACCCAAACTTGCTCTCCCCCCATTTCAACCAATGGCACCACCATTCATCCAGGAGTTCAGGGCCAAAAGCCTTAGAATCATTCTTGACACCTGTTTTTCTTTTACACCCTGCCTCCAAGCCATTAGCAAACCTTGAATCTGAAATGCATCAGATTTCAGATGACCATGACCATTTCTTTTTCTTTTTTTTTTTTAAAGATTTATTTATTTATTTATACAAGCACTGGGTACAGTCAGAAGCGAGGGAGGGTGAGAGAATTCACCAGAGCCAGAGCGGGGAGCAGAGCAGGCAGAAGGACCGAAGTACACTGCTGAGGGGAGCAGCGGGCGGCAGGAGAGGTCTGCGCGCCATGTGGGACCCTCGCCGGTGGCCAGGGATTGAACCCGTGTTGCAGAGGCTGCAGGCAGCTTCGCAGCCCAGTGCTCAACCGCTGCGCCACCAGGGGAGGTCCGACCATGACCATTTCTTAACAACTAAGCCTTCAACCTCATAGGAAACCACTGTCATCTCTTGTTAGGTCCACTGCAATAGCTTCCAGCTTGGCTCTTGCTTCTACTCATGCTCTACTGCCGCTCCTGTTCATTGTTCATATAGTAGTCACAGGGATCATAAAAAGTATTTGCAGTGTTCCTGCTCTCAGCTCTCCAGAGGAGAATCTCATCCCACGTAGTTTGTAATCTAAAGTCCTTTGCAGGCCTACAAAGCCCTGCATGCGCTGCCCCTGCCTACGTCCCCCATCGCTCTCCCCACTTGCTCTGCTCTCCAGCCTCATGGACCTCCTTGGCCCTCCCACTTTAAGATTATTTCACTTGCATGTGGCTCTGCTGGGACACCGTCAAATACTTGTTCTTTCTTTATGACAGTGTACCTATCACTCTGTCAGGAACACGCTTTGGCCCCATCATTTCCTTAAGTCTATATCTATTTGTTTATTATTTATATTAAGCTCCCAGAGGGCGGAAACTTTTTGTCTTTTCCGCTGTTTCATCCTCAGTGCCTCAAGCAATGCCTGGAACAAGTCAGGATTTAGCAGTTATTGTTGGATGAAAGAGCTTTTCCCTTAGCCTCTGCTACCAATTGCAATGGTGCCTTCTCTATATTAGGATTGTTAAGGAGGTAAAATGTCTGACAGCCTGTAAAGCCTTCAGAACAAATTATGGTACTTGATAAGTGCTCTGTAGACATTACCAATAGCAGCAGTAGGTTTGCTCTCTTACCAACATTTAATACAAATGGCCACTCCCATTTTGAAACGTCACTCCTTCTCTTGCCCTTTGTGACATCACAGTCTCCCAGGTTAATATCTCATTTGCTGAGCCCTCTCTTTTCCCTGACCTCTGAAGTGCTCCAGCTGACCCTTTTTCCTTTTGTACATTTTCCCCCCTACACAGCCCTACCTAAAACTGTGGCTTTCAATAGTCTCTCTATGCTGTCACCTGCTAACTTGATTATTCCAATTCCACTTGCTCTTGAGTTCCCACACTTATATATTAGACTACCCACTGGATCTCTCCATTTTGATCAATCACAGGCATCTCAAATGTAGTATACTTTAAAACAGAGGTCCGTTTTAAATCAATCTTGTTATTCTCAATATATTCTCAATATCCTCAATCTTGTTATTCTCTTAGTCTTCCCAAAATAATATAAAAATATTACAAGGACATATTTCTTGCCGACCCTACCCTCCTCTCCCCTTTGACAGGTCAGCACTCTTATTAGTTATTAGTTTTATTAGTTTCCATGTATCTTTTTTTAAAGATTTATTTATTTATGCATACAAGAACTGGAATACAGGCCAGAGGTATGGGGGGGGGTGAGAGGATTCACTAGAGACAGAGTGGGGAGCAGAACAGGTGAATCTATTAAATACACTGCTGAGGGGAGCAGCGGGTAAGACAGGAAAGGTCTATTGCTCCATGTGGGTCACCCTCCTGGCTGGGGATTGAACTCATGCTTCAGTGGCTGTGGATAGCTTCATAGGTTGTGTCTTAATCCCTGCGCCACCAGCGAGGCCCCAGTTTCCATGTATCTTTATAGAAATACAAGAAAATATTGTACAAGCTTGTGCTTGTGTATGTGTTCCCCCTTTCTTACTCAGAGGGTAATATACACTGCATTATTAT